TGCTCGCAAATTATGGTCATAATAAAAGCAAAAATCGTAACGACTAAATCAGCCTTCCGAATCCCTGTGGTTACTGAATTTTACCAACAACCACCGACAAAACTCTTTTCTCAAGTTATAACTGCAATGACTGGTTCACTAGTCATGTATAAATCATGATTTTCTATCAGATTATCTCATCAATATGAAATTTAATACATAATTTTATGCAAAAAAGTCCAGTGGCTTAAGACTTTCTAAACAAACTGAAATTTGTTTTGCTTTTCAAATGAGTTTTACTTATTTTGTTTATAAAGAGATTAAAACTGGCTTAGAAGTCTGCCAACAAATTGATTTGTCCTGGATTGATTAGAGAGAGCTTTTAGTGAGACAAAATGAACTGAGAATGACATGTGGCAGTGTTTTTATTGTTCCCTATTGATTAGCAGTTTTTATTGATTTTTCAGGGTTTGAGCTAGGATTTGATCACTGGGGGACAATTTGTCCCCTTGGGTAAAATTTTGGGGGACATTTTCATTTTTAGGGGGACAGATATTTGTACACCCTTCCTTCTTAGCAGGGCTCCTGATAGGTCTCAGACGAAAAAGTCAAATTTCGCGGGATTTTTAGGGACAAATTCGCGGAAATATTGGCCGATTTCGCAGGAGTTTTCGGGGCAAACTTCACCGAAAAGCAATCGGTAAAAAATGGCCGATTTTGTGGTTATTTTCAAGACAAATTTCGCTAGAAATCGATCAGTTTTGGGCTGATCAGACCAGCCTTTTTAACGTTTTTCTAACAGGTCATCATTTGCTCTTTCAACAACAATACACTCCAGAAATGAACCAATGGCAAAGCCTTTAACATGATGGCTAGTGCCCAGTTTTTCGCAACATAATCTGTTTGCACGTTTCAGTGACGAAGTTCCAAGATAAATTTGCAAGTTTACGGCAAGTAAATAGCCCCTATAGCTGAAATAAGTTCAAATATGTTGTACAGACATGTATTAATTTTGATAAGATTTCTACCGAATTTCGCGGTATTTTTCGTGTTTTTGTGAATTTCGCGGCTCCGCGACCGCGCAAAAAATCAGAAGCCCTGTCTTAGATTTCTGACAAAAATAGCAGTAGCGCGTGACTGAAACGTAACTTTGGAATGAACTTTAAAGGTGCAATAAAATATACTTTCCACGTTCTGTTTCAGCTTGCAACTTCTGTACCGAAATAAATCTCTTTGTGTGTGCTTCCTTTCGAGTTTTTTCCCTAAATTTTGAAGGGGACAAATTGTCCCCTTGGCCGTTTTTTAAAGGGACAATTCCAATTGCAGTGCGGGATTGGCGCAATGGCGCGGCCTGGCTCAAACCCTGATTTTTACAAGTAGGCCATTTTCATTTGCTATAAAGTTTAACTGTAATAGTTAGTTTTCTTAGACCTGTGTGACTTACATGTACACTGTAGTGCCATTTTAATTTAATTAATATAAGTCATAATCAGTTATACAGCCAGATGCCATATTTCCACATAACACTGTTAAATTTATTGTGACCTTTAGTTAGCTTAAATTATCTCAGATTAAAGCTTTAAAGTCAAGCAGCTAAGGGCTGTGTCTAGCAAGCCATTGGAGGCCCCTGTCGCCTGACTTTTGCTCTTGGGCGACAAGAAAATCTTACTATTTTCATACAAATCATATGCCGGGCACCCATGATTTTACAGGTACGGAGCATGGGCTCCCTTCAATTTTCCACCGAGCACAACAGTCTTGGCTTTTGTTGGTGTACCTCAGTTGTTTTTTTTATCAAGTCCAATCAGACCATTATTAAAATATTGTTAATCTTCCTTTTTTAACATGAGTCATTGTAATATGTGACTATGAAGATTATCCCCAGGTTAAGTGATTCTAAGAGATAATCTGATTGTTTGAAGGTAAATATGCAGGGGCGGATCCAGGATTTTTGTTAGGAGGGGGTGCACCACTAACTGACTGATGACGTAAAAAATTTTAAAAGCGAATACGAAGAAGAGGGCTTTTGACTGGGAAATAACATAATGTGAACTGCTGAGAATACATATCAAACGATAGAGCAGATTTTGTATGTCTGTCAAGCGACTGCACAGTGTTAATTAGAAAGCGGCCGCAGGTCATCCCAGGGGGGGTGCGCACCCCCTGGATCCGCCCCTGATATGCACTCTGCACCGCAAAAAAGTCGTAAAGTTCATTCAGGTTTTGTGTTCTCCAAGTTGTTATTCTTGTGCCCATTAAGCTAAGATCCAAAAATTAATACAGTGACAAAAAATTATCTACAACATATACAGTGTAACATGTAAGACTTAATTTCAAAAACCTAATTTAGTTCAGAATAGTTCATAATAATTAATTTCTTATTGTGTTGCAAGTGGAACCTGGAAAAAACACGGAAAATTTTTGCAAGTATTGACAAAAAATTCATTTAAGTGCTCACTTTGTGAAGTGTACTGTCCTATACAGGGCTTCTGATATTTCGCGCGGTCGCGGACCCGCGAAATTCAGGTATTTCCGCGAAATCCCGCGAAATTCCCCAAAAAACGCGAAATACCGCGAAATCCGCCAGAAATATTTCCAAATACATATCGGCAAAACATATTTAATACTTATCTTGGCTATTAGACCGGTTTTATTCACCCCAAACGTCCAAATTTAGCTTGAAACTTCGTCACTGCAACGAGCAAACAACGTCCCAAAACTACCAGGCGTTTTCAGATGAACGTTGCGAAAAACTGGGCACTAACCATAATGTTACTTGCTTTAACATTTCGCTCATTTCTCAAGCGAACTGTTGTTGAAAGAGCAAATGATTATCCCTGCTACAAAAACGTTCACCGACGCTGGTCATATCGACGCAAAATTGATCGATTTTAGCCAAATTTGCCAAAAAAATCCCAGCGAAATCGGCTGTTTTTTACTGATTGTTTCTTGGCGAAGTTTCCCCCCGAAATTTCCCGTGAAATCGACCGATTTTCCTAAGAATTTGCCCCTGAAAATCCTTCGAAAATTAACTTTTTTCCGCTAAAATCCCGCGAAATGGGCCGATTTTTCTGGAATTTTGACTTCTCTCCCTCGAAAATCGCCCGAAATCGGCCGATTGTGCCGCGAATTTTGACTTTTTTCCCGCGAAAATCCCGCGAAATCGGCCGATTTTTCCGCGAATTTGCCCCTGAAAATCCCGCGAAATTTTGCTTTTTTTTCCGCGAAATATCAGAAGCCCTGCCTATAGTAATAGACAGTCCTATTGGTGCCGAAATCAGACTGAGCTCGATAGCAAATCATACATGTATTCGACAATTTGTTATAGTTATGATTAGTGTATAAATAACAGCCATGAAATTATCTCTACTTGTAATGACTTATTTAAATGTATTTTAAAACGCTATATTTAACTAAATTACTATATTAAATTTATTTTTTTAATATTATTCTTAGAATGATTTGTCAAAGTGTGAGGAGCTGCATCAGATTGCAAAGGATTCCAAGGAAAAAGTTCAGCAAATGCAGCGTGACTGTTTGGTTAAGATTGATGAAACCTGTGCTGCTTTAACAGAGAAACACAAAGCAGAGGTAGGTCTGGTCAAATTTTTTTTGCAATATTATTTTTAATTTGTTCAATTGTTCCCAAGAGTAAAAGGGCTGAGTGGGTGATCTGATGAGGCAAATAGTCATTAATCATAGGTTCGATCGTTCAGCTGAAAAAAAAGGCTTAACAGTGTAGAAAGACTCAAAGAAAACCATTTGCCGTGCCAGAAATTGCTTGGGTTACGATCATGACTGATACTGGAATGTTCCATCATCTTTGCAATGGTTTGTCATTTTTATTCCCTTAACCTCACGAGGTCAACTTTCGAACAAGTGACCAAAATTCAAAAGGAATGGAAATAAAACAAAACACAGTTTTACTGGTTCATAAAATATAAACTTTGTTCCCTTGTTTGAAAAAATTTAAGATCTACAATCAATTTAATGCCACCCTTTGCCATTTTAAGGAAATAATTTTCTACTATAGACTTCGTACATTTGAGAAATTTATCCTGGGGTGACTCAACTGAGTAATCTTTACTCAGTAGTGAGTAAAGTTTACCACAAACTGAGAAAAAGCCTACCAATCAGTCAGGCGACTCTCTTAGTTGTTTTACAATTTTTTTTCTGAAATGTGGCGTGCTATATTATGATCTTGATGTAGCAAAAGTCACTTGTACATGTAGTTTTCTACTTCTATGCGAACCAAAGTTTACAAATTAAAAGCTGCTTCTAAAGTGAGCCACATACAATACATCAAATACATTTAGTTCTACTCTTACAATAACATGGAGTTTTTTAAGCTACGTGTACACTTAGTTTATTCGAGTCTTACAACAAAATGAGTGTTAAAGAATAATGAGATTTAGGTGGTTCTTTGGATGAATTATCTTTACCCTTCTACTTTTAGATATAGTTTGACATCTTTGACTTGTTAAAATAGCTGAAATTTCTACTGTCCCCTTTGCATTAACCTGTGGGTAAAGTTTTCAAAATAGCTTTCTCAGTGCAAACACCACACTTAGTGATCTTGTTTTGCTGTTGTGGAATACTGTGTTACCACATCAACATTAGAGCTGATTTAGAAACAAGAGTGATCGGACTGTGAGGAATATCCATTTTTTTTCTTTTAATTACAAAGTAAAAGTCAGCAGTCTGATGAAAAAATCAATTTTTCTTCCTTGTAGATCATGAGAGTTGTGTCTGAAAAACTTGAAGCTGAAAACAGCTGGGTACTGGAAAAACAGCAGGTACTGTATGCTGTATGTCATAATATTGGGAGCTTTGGCAACAGCGTTTTTGAGCGACGGACGTCAACCGGTAGTTGACTTTTTGCATCATTGAGTAGTGGTTTAGTTGAAACTCTCGGGTAAATCATCTTTATAAGAGAAAAGAAAGTTAACAATACAAATTTGTTAGTACCAAGGCATGTAAAAGGGGAGAAGGCCTCATTTCCAGTTGACGTGCAACTCTCCGGGCGGGGGGTGGGCTCTGCATTTGAAAAGGGGTGGGGATGCTCATCGGAAATTTGGCATTAAACCCCAAAATGAGACCGATCTGGGCGTGGCCCAAGCTTTTTTTGACCCCTAAAAGAGAACAATCATGTTAAAACACAAACAAATGAGAAAACTTGGATTATATGAATTGAGTAAATAAAACGCATTAAAAATATACATATCAAATACATATTTTAATATTTTTTCTCTTGCAACCTTAAATGAGACCTTCGCGGCTAAATATGATGGCGTTTTGCCCAGAACACCCTAAGTGAGACCAAAATCCGAAATTTACACCCCTAAGCGAGACGACCAGCATCCCCACCCCTTTTATATGCGGAGTTCCCCCCCCCCCCGGGGGGCGTCACTCAGTAGTTTAAACGTCTTTGCTCAAGCTCTCTAATGCCGTAATAACTGCAGGGTTCGCACGCACCTTGAATGTCCTTGAATTTCAAAATAAAGAGCTTAAGCAACGAAGTGTTTGAGCGACGCACGTAAAATGCTTCACTTCCGGTAGACGTGTACTGCCCAGAAACGTCTTTGCTTAAGCTCCCTAATAAAAATTCAAGGCCTTGAAAGTCCTTGAAAATTGCAGTCAGTGCTGGAAAGTCCTTAAATTTCGGTGCTAACTTTATCCAACCCAGCAAACACAGAAAGACCTTCAGGATAAAATTGCTCATGCATGTTCTGGAAGAACTGAAGAAGACATAGATTCAAGGCTCTTCTTTGCACTGAATGGAGTCCTTGAAAAATGGGAAAGGTGTCCTTGAAAGTCCTTGAAAAGTCCTTGATTTTTTTGGTCAAAAAAGGGTACGAACCTTGTGACTGATTCGCCCAATGCAAGGGAATCCAGATTCCAGTATCCGGGAAATTTTTGGTTGTGGAAACTGAAATCCCTGAAATCCGGGGAAATTTTGCTTGTTAGTATAGATAATAGCTATAGCATGAATTGTAGTGATATTTGGCATAAATACCACTGGTGATATTTCGAAATTGTTATACGTAATTTCACGAGCCTTTAGGCGAGTGAAATTTGAGACAATTTTGGAATATCACGAGTGGTATTTATGCTAAATATCACGTACAAATCATGCTATTATTTGTTTATACTACCACCCGCAAAAGGTTTGTAATTTTCACATGTAGGTATTTCAAATTAAGCTGAAATACCACTACTCTAGGCCAATCAAATTGCAGAAATTTCTCATGTAGTAGTATAAACTCTGGAATCCTGGGCTTTTGAATCCAAAATACAGCTCAAGGAAACTCGAATCCCACTAAGCGTAGAATCCAGAATTCAAGTTCCACACTGACAAAGACTGGAATCCGGTACCTGGAATCCGGAATCCATGGCGGGGAATCCAGAATCCAAGACTGTGTTAGATTCCCTTAGCCTGAATTTCATCCGACTGCTTCGAGTCGTTTTCTCCTCTCAGCAACGACGTTACTGAGGGAGTAATAACGACTCGAAGTAATCGGATGAAATTCAGGCTACGATTCCCTTAAATGGGGCGATACTGATTGCCCACTCTTTTGATCTTGTCTGTCATGCCCTTCACATAGAGAATGCTGGATGTCTGTTTTGTTAATAGATTATGGAGAGGAATTCAGCTCTTGAGAAGGAGAACAAACTACTAAAGGAACAACTAGAATCTTTGAAGGCAACTGGAGATGATGTCATGGTAAGTAATCTTGTGGAAATTGCTTTTCTATGAAGAAATGGTCCAGATAAGAAGGAAAGTTCAAATGCAATGAATACGTCGGAATGTAAAAAGGTGGTAACTTTGACACTTCTGGTTGGTTTAAACATCAGATTTTAAGCAATCCTCGCAAAGCCGCTTTCTATCTCGTGAACTGCCTTTTCGTAAGTTTATGTATTCTTTGTGTGAAAATGAAAACATTCCTAATTGACGAAAGCGTATTGCGCCATAACAAATTGCTTTCCATCTTTAATACCCGGATCACTACTTAAAGCAACAACCCGTATGTGTAATTGTCTGGTAAATGTTGCTTGACGCAACCTCGAAACAGGAAAACACATAGATAAGCGTTCTACCCCTGAAAAAAAGAAGGAGTGAGTCGGGAGACTTGCGAACCATTCTGATACCTAATTTGTTGTTTGACTAAAGAACTCTGAGAACATTTGTGTCCAGATAGTTTAATTTCGTAAGAGGCCTGTAACGCTCTAGAAGAGAGATTTCGCTAAAAATTCTTTTACGAATAGTTTTTAACCCAAGTTCAGAGGCGGGGGATATATGTGGGTCTCGCTCCCACTTCCAAATATGCCCATGCTCGGATACGATTTCTTTTTTTTTTTTTTGGCTTCTTTTTTCGTTACAGTTCAACAGGAAAGAATACACTGGTTCTGCTTGTGTGTTCTCGCTAAGTTATCTATTAAAGTGGTTTTTAGAAAACGATCTTGATACTCTGTGGATGCATTGTGAAAAGATAAGGACTATATTTACTATGTGGGTAATTTTTTTTGCGTTGTGATCAAAGTGGCAGAGTATTCTGCAGATGAGTCACTCTAGCGCGTTCAAGTAAGCTGACTAGCCTCTTGAACTCTTGATTTTATAATTTTTATGCCTTTTCTATTCATTTTTCAGAAATTAAGCTCGTCTCTCCAGGAGGCAAGAGAAGCTATTGAGTCGTTATCCCAAAACAATAAACAGCTAAAAGAGGAGAGAAAAGTCCTTGAAAAAAGCGTTCGAGATCATAGTATGGAAAATGAAAGATTGTCATCAGAAGTCGACAGGTTAACATCTAGGATAGCAGTTCTGGAGATGCAGTCCAAACTAGCGAGAGACGCAAGAGCTGAGGAAAAAGATCATTCTGCGGAAATAACAAAGTTTAAAGAACTTGTCGAGGAGCTTGAAGGGAAAAATGGGAGTCTTTCAGAAGAGATCGAAAAACTCGACAAAGAAAACAAAGTTTTGGAGTTTAATCTTCAAGATTCTGCCCAGGCATTGAAGAGCATGTTCAAGGAAAGGGACTTGCTTAAAAACAGAATCACTGGGCTTCTCAATGAAATAGCAGCTCTTAAATCTCAGGCACCAGAGAAACACACGTTTGTAGATTTTGTTCATCTCAAGCGGGATTATAATGCGTTAAAGGAAGAACACGAGAAACTCTTGAAGCGAAGAAGCTCTAAAACAAACGCGTTACCCACATTGAAAAGTGACAGTTCTGTAGCGAGGGTATCTAGTGGGGGTACTGTGAGAAGTGGAGCAGGAGGGGTGGGTACTTTTTGGTAGTTTGCAGTACAGTATAATTATAAAAAATAGTCTTCCCCACCACCTGCACCCTTGGTGCTCGTTTGAGTTTATCTAAAGGTAGGCGTGGCAGGTATTATTTAAGATGGAAGGATGAATTGCACATATCCTATGCGCAACCAGATTCGTGTCGGAGTGTACAGAGGATATTTATAGTTTGAAACTTACGTTTCATGGAGCCTGTCTAACTCCCGGGGGGGGTACTTTAGATATTTTTGGGTGGGGGATACCAGAGCACGTTCAAGTGAATTTTGCTACCCTATACTAGACTAAACTCCGAAAATCCCCCCCCCCGCCCCCCATCGCGGAGTAGCTGTTTTCCAGAAACTACTGAGGTCACAAGCACAGTCCAGCCAAAATAAAGCCGATTTGATTTTTTCATATTTTTGAGTGGCAATTCCTGGTTTCCCTAGTCTAGACTAAAATCTTCAACCAATTGATCAGTTTCCTGGAAAATGATACCCTGTTCTACACCCAAACTCTCCGATTTATATACCCTATCCCAGAGTAAACTGCTTGAAAACCAGACCCTTCACAGCGGCACATACCTATATAGCCCATATATGGCAGTACCCCCCCGGGTCTAACTCCTGTAGTGATAACTAGGAATAATAGCTAGGCAACGAGGACTGCGACGGTGACGAGAACGGCAAAAAAGCGATAGGTTAACACTATGTTCACACTACACCTACCGGATAGCTTTTCCTGCCGACACGAATACCTATATCAGTTATAGTATGAACACCGATCCGATATGTGACTCTCCACTTTAGCGATTGGCCCGGAGCAGCTTCGCTCCATTACAGAAACCACACCGAGATCACCGTTCTTTTGTGTGAACAGAAGCAATATCTGGTATGGTTTTCGCGCCGGCGCAAAAGCTATACGGTAAAGTGTGAACATAGCCTTAATTAGATTAACCTGTGCCAGGCTCTTAGATCAGATAGTAAAAATAAGTCTTAAAAATAAGACGCGCGCCCTGTCTCTCCGCAGTCCCCGCGCGTTTTTCGCATTTTTTTTGCTGAACGACTTTTCACCACTATCTCGGAGCCTGGAACAGGCTATAATTAGATTGGCAAAATAACAACTTTGCACGTATAGCGCACTTTTTTTTGCCAATTCTTTAAAGTCTTTGTATGACTCCGACGTGAAATGTCCTAATCTGACGTTTTATGGAATACCTTTAGTCTTTTTTGTTTTAGAATTCTACTCCAGAAATATTCGCTAACATTTAGCAATCCGAACGACTTGGAGCAGGAGCAAATACGTGGGAATGCAGTAATTTTAAGTAACGTTTTCGCTGTCGTCGCCTTGACCTTTGATTAAAGTTCCTAATCTAATGTATCTAATGTGCTATTTAAGCTGTAAAACAGCCAAACCTTTTCTCAAGAGCACGTTGCGTGAAGGGGAGTTGAGAAAGCCGTATCTGAATAGAAGCCATTAGTGTTTAATACCGTTAATAGGCTCATTTATTTTATAAGTACAATGCAGTGGCTTTCTTATTCAGAAGAAATAAAATGCGTCAAAGGTTCAACCATACTAACCATGCAGCCGTTATTAGCAGTTTGAAATGTCAGCCGTTAATCCTCGCCCTAACCCACAGGGGTGGAGGGACGGGAGGGTAGCGGCAGCGGTTAAGGGAGAGGGACTCAATCTCTCCCCCGTGCGGGTTAGGGGGAGGAGATGGCCAACATCTCAGACTTTCGTTATTTGCAGTGGTGTCCTGTACGTGTCGTACAGGGAGGCATGTGCACCATCGGACGCAACTCCTAGTGCATTATATTTTCACACCCCGCCTTTAAGGTACGATTTATAGTTGGCTCCTGTTAGGAATTTTCCCGGAAGGATGCTTGCGCAGATGTGAATTGGCATGTCGTGTGCTGCCTGTACGCGTTTAAGTCTGAATGTTGTTCTAGTCTTATTTTTCATTCAGAACAAGCTCTGCCGAAAAGATCAGATCAAACGGCCGGCTCCTTTTTTATCTGCTCTGGAGATCTCCCATTCCAACCATCAGCAAGTTTTTGCACGCGGTGACATTAAAATAAACGGTAACTTCTATTTTTGCCATTCAACTTGTTCCTTTTCTAAACGGAGATGACCTCATGCAACTTGACAGGAATCCGAACATCACAGACGAGGTTATTTTTGGTTGATTATACCGCCTTAACAACCCTTGCCTCTAATCAGGAGCCTTGCTATGTTTTAGTATCAATTTAGAAACGTGAGTAAGTACGTGCCTTACGAGCGTGTTCGCAGGGATAATTAGCACTACTACCTAATGATCTCTACCCGTTAACTCTTCACTGAGACCGATCGTTCGCAGCAATGAGAGCTACAATGGCTCTTAGTTACTAGACTCCTGAAAGGCTTCTGTTGTCACACCGACAAGACTCAGTGTAAACTGCTGGTTTTGAACTAACTTTGAGATCACCCAACACATAATTTGGGTTGGATTTTAATGCTCATCAGATTACCGTATCGCTGGATTTGTGTTTTAATATTCTTCGTTGCCACCTGTTCATGCCATATTAGTTTGGGTTTCTGGTTCTTCTCTTGTCCCCATGGCAACGGTCAAGGTCGAGTGGGCGATGTGTGTTCAGCTTTTTGTCGTTGCCACCCATTGAACACGTGTGAGGCTGGAGTACAAAAATGCGCGCGACCTGGGGAGTATGGAGAACGTTGTCATGCTACAAAGCCGTGCGGAAGTGGTCTCACTTGTCAACCGGGCGTCCAAAAATGCTTCCACGTGCCTCGTCGTCATGGTGAGCCTTGTGTGGCTGGTTATGAGTGTGGAGCTGGCCTCTCATGTGAGCCAGGAGTTCAGGTCAGTTGGTTTTGATTTAAGAAAATTCTAGCGTTTTAACTGAGAGGCAAGTTCAAGGGATCGTTAGTACAAAACCAACGATCAGCTGAACGATAACTTTTACACGCTACATCCCATGCCAATCATACGATCTTACTCGGACAATACTTGCTTCTGCAGGATAGGATTAATGATTATATCGGGGGGAAATGTAGCTCTGTAGAGAGAACTACATATGAACCCTTTTTCTTCATAAGTGCCCTTATGAAGAAGGGATTGTGGCACTCACCTAGGTCCCAACAGACAGGAAATTGAAGATGACGATTTCATACAAAGAACCATACAAACTTAGAGAGTTTCATACATCTCTTAATAAGTGTTCCTTGGCCAAAACCACAACGACAAACCAGTGAGGGTAAGCTGGATCTTTAGTAGACCTGGATCAGTAAAATCTTGAGTACCAAATTTTAAAATTAAAACAGTAAACTGATCCTTACGGGTGGAAGAGCGGCTGATATAAATCCAGTCTAGAGTGTCTCTGTCAGTGGGTGAATTTGAATAGAATCTAGTGAGAGACAACCTTTGTGTGGCCAGATCGGTCTTTGATGGTCACCCACACGCAGCTGTCATTTATCTGGTCACGCTTCGCCCCTTTCGATAGCAGTCCTCAGTTTGTCGTTTGGGAAGGAGCGTTTGTGTGACGAGACAAATAACGGCTGCGCCAGAGACCAAGTATGTGTTTTAAGACCTTTTTATTTTTTAGTGGGCATTAAGTTGATGTTGACGATTACTATGTCACATAGGTAACATTATGAACCAGGTTCAAAAATAACAGAATTAAGGATTTCTTTGATTTGACTTTTTCAGCGTTGCTATCACCACCCTCGACTTTATAACGAGCCGTGCTCAGCTGGCTTTTCTTGTTCTTCAGGCCTCAGTTGCCAGCCGGGATATCAACGTTGTCTGCATCATCCGCGGCTGGAAAATGAACGCTGCTCGGCGGGGTACTCATGCGCAGATGGGCTAGTATGCAGGCTGTGTGACAAGCCTTTTGCCACCTGTCAGCTTGGGCGTGTACCCGCTCTAACAGAACAGGTACTTATTATCATGAACCACTGAGACTCCACGTACGATTGCTTTTTTACCGCCAACTCCATCCTTTTTGAAACGTCGAATTTTCGATGTCAGAGTACAGAAATGTTTCTCTTTAATTCATGGAGAAGTTTAACCAATCCAAAAAAGTCTCTGTGACATACTGGAAAAATTAATGCTAACCTTTATATGCAGAGGTGCGGGCCATACAACGCTTAATTAATTAAAAACTCACTAGCTTACTCTTTCCGGATCTTTAACGCAGCAATGCTTAACTTGCGCTTGAGCCAAACGTCACCTGTAGTGAGGTGTAATTAAAACAAAACTGAATGGGAATATGGTAATATGGCAAAGGGCTTGCACTTGTGAGACGCCCTAAGTGAAATCCCTCTTTCTTTTCTCCAAGTAAAATTACCAACCTTGTTCCCGGTATGAGCCCGGAAACGAGACTGAAAAATTACTAGTTTCCCATAATTTGTTCCTCCCTCCTTTCTTGTTCTTTTTTTCCTCGCGGTAAAGGCAGCATATTTGCAAAGTGTTTCTTCAAGTGTAGAAAGGTGATTTATTTATTTTCACTGTTAGAATAACCACAGATTCTACCTGCGCGCAATGCTCTATTCTCGTAGCTCCCCAGGGCATTACAGGCAATCGTGTGGAAGTCTCGGGGGAGTCGTTTTGCTATTTAAGCCAATGATCTATCCCGTGATTTCTGTCTGTTTTGCCAAGTAACTCCCTTCGTAGCTTTTTTGACCCTCCCACCTCCCCTTAGGCGACGCTTATCCGCCTGTCCGTTCTCTCTCTTACGACCCTCTGCCTTTGCAAAATCTCGCTTTCCATAACTTAGTTTCGCGAAGGTAATAAGTCGTTGTTCCGACAGTGATAATGGCTTACAATTTTCTGTTTAAAGGACTATGGACGCCCCTTCAACAAAGTGGCATTTCTTGTTACCCATAATTCTTTTTCAAACTCTCCGAGTTTTGCTGTATGGGTCCGCAATCAACGGTTCAGCGTCAGACAGCAGCTCGAAGATGGTGTGCGCGGTCTTATGTTGGACATATATCCAGGTACTGGGAGTCTACTTTCCGTTTATTAATTCTATTCCATCGATATTTGTACATTCTGGTTGAGCCGAACTCGGTCCAAGACTACTGCTGCGTAAGCTCAAACAAAGAGTATTTTAACAGTTTCAAACAGTATTTCAGCTTGTCAGACCATGCAGCTTTCTTCAGGTTTACAGGTGTTACTGAGGTTTTTTTCTAAAAGAATTAATTATTACATTATAGAAATGGAGAATGTCATCAAATAAATTGTATTAGATGGAGAGTCGAAAATGACATACACCATATTCAGGAACTTGAGGGTTTACAATATCACGTCAGTTTAGGCCATAGTTTTTAGGTCTTTTAGGCATTAGTTTCAGCTTTCTAGTAGTCTTTGGACTCGATTCTTTATTTTAATCTGCATTTTTTCCTTGATCAGCTTCGGAAAGACACCGAGATTACAGCGATGACGGTGCTTGTAGATCTAAAAACCGAATTGACCACTGGCAGAACGGAAAATTGAGCACAGGAGATCGCGTTCAGTATAGTACTTTCTGCGCCCTTTCGAAAAGACTGAATAAATTATGCAAATATACACAGGGTCTTTGAACGTCTTTTGTTCCTTCTTCTTCTTTTGTTCCAGGGTGGGGAGAGGCAGATGTTCGTCTCTGTCACGCGTCTTGTTTCTGGGGTGGCTCGACAAACTTATTAGATACCCTGATTGAAATCAGAAAATTCTTGGAATCAAACGAACGCGAAGTCATCACAATCGTCTTCGAAGACTACCTGAGAAATCCTGTAATTCTGAAACGGGTATTCGATCAAGCAGGGTTATCTTCCCATGTACTGCGCAAGGAGAACTGGGGCGACGGCTTCAATGATTGGCCAACGTTAACAGACATGCGCAGGTTAGGTCGATTAGTAGTGTTCAACAACAATGGCCTCAACGGTTTTCCATACACGGAGTTCAACATGTGGCATTACGTAAGAGAGAATCGATATGGCAACGCTGGCCTCAACAAAAAGGTGCTCCACTAGTTCTTTTACTTTTGCATTGTGTTAAAGAAAATAAATAGAGTCAAAGCCCGCTTAAAGGACACACGCTTAACACGGACACTTTATACGGACAGTTTACTCTGCCCCTGGGGAAAGAAAACCCCTAATCTCGCTTAATACGGACACCCTGATAATACGGATACTTTCTAGTTCCCCCTCAATGTCCGTATCAAAGGAGTTTGATTGTACTAAGTTGTTCATTAGGTTCTTATCTATTGTAGAATCTTTCGCGAACAGTAGCTTGGAAAAAGAACTGCCATTGTGGGCTCTCAAGAACGAGTAGCAAGGGAGGGGTTAGCCGAAGCGAGCATCTAACAAAGCGATTCTTGAATAAATAATCTTCAATCCGTTACACAAACGTCTTGGGACAAAATTGATGTTAGCTCCCTATTTTTAAGGAGTGTATTGACCGGCCGGAATCTCGCTGGAACAAGGCCTGGAATGATCACTGGAGTCTGGTTCTTATAAACTGGTTCAGTACAGCGGCTAATCCCCTTCAGCCATGCCTGAATTCATTTGCAGAGATAAAGAACAAGTTGACTACTTGTTACGACAAGTTTGGCTTCTGGGCCAATTTTGTAGCTGTGGATTTCTACACCGCAGGGTCAGGGGGAGGAGCATTTCAAGCTGTCAAATGGCTCAACAAAAAATTCAGAGGTAAGTTAGGGAGACCAGTAAGAGCTCGACAATAAAAAAATGGAGACTTTTACTTGCAGGCCAGCCTTCGGTTGGTTTATTTTAACTCTAAAATGACTATAACCGGTGTGTCAAATATAATCAAACTGGAGAAAGACAATTGCTATTTCTAATGAGTTGCGCTTTGAGGTTGTTGTGTGGTTCAATTTTATTGTTGGTTTATTTAAATTTTCTGATATGTTATTAAATCTCAACACCATCATAACCATCATCATCATCATTATCGTCATCAGCCTATTAAAGGTTGTTGCTTTGTGAATGTTCCAGGCTATTTGGCGAAGGGAAATAGAACTCAAACTAAGGATAAAATAGAACCACTAACAAGTATAAGTGCGCGATCCGTCATCGTCTCTCAAATGAGTCTGGCTTGAAATTGTAACTCTTTCAGTGAACTTGGATGCAGTACATACGCTTCCCTTACGAGTTTCCTCTACAGTTCCTTTATAATTTGTAGCCCGGGTTTACCATTCAGAATACACAACATTGAAAAGAAGTATCTTTCAGTCCTTACTAACTCCTCGAGCTCCCAGTTCCTCTCAAAACTCGAAACCAACCGAAAGTAGGAAAAAGATCTTGATTGTTATTACAAGATCGTCACTTGCAATAAAATCCCATTCGTTTTTTTTTTCTTGTACGTTTTTTTTTTCGGTGGTTATCATAGCCTGTTCCAGGCTCCAAGAAAGTAATAAATGTGCTAAGGCTGTAAAAACGGATGCAAAGAACGTGATCATGAGCGTTCTATCTTCTATGACCTATAGTTTTCGCTATTCCCCAGGCTATGGATATAAGAGGGAATTTGTAAAAAAACGTTAACTGATAGTATCCCTTTTTTAGAAGGCGGAGCATCTGCAGACAGGAAAAAAGCATCACCTTTGCCCTTTCGTCCTTCTCATATTGTCAGTCATTCACAAACAAATAAATCCAGTCTGCTGGAAACCAGAACTAAGAACCCAGCTGACGAACCTGGATACGGAAGTGGATTCCATGATCTTTCTGACATTATTGCCCACATATTACAGAACAAAAATCGCTGGTTTACAAAGAAAAGCAACGTCAGCAAAACCTTAACGGATATTATGTCTGCGGATGGGTCCTATTTGAACTCCTCAAGGGTTTCTGATGCGGTGTCAAGTCAATCTCATAAAAGGAAGGACTGGGCAACTCGTAAAAATAATGCTGGGAATAAAGAAAAGATATTTCCAGCAAACATAGTCACATCAACTTATAGTAATATACAATCCTCTGAAAATTATGGAAGTAAACGCACTGCTCTAGTGATCGACAACGACGTTGACAGCAGAAACTGGAATTCAACACCTCGCTCCAATCATACTAATCATAAACAGAATACACAGGATTTCTTGAGTAAGGTTCATCCATACCTTAAAAATGACCAATCGAATCACCCTTTTTCAGGGACAACAGACAAAACAGGAAACATACCAAGAGTACGACCTCGAAATCTCACAAGTCAAGGGGAAGTTTTTCATGTAGGTCCACAAGGGAAAGTAGCCCGATTAGCTAATTTTACAGGAAGACATTCTCGGTTCCCACCGAGCGCTCTCCGATCGAAGAAGAATATGGCCGTAAAGTTACGTAATCTTCGGCGACAATTGGCTCGGCTGAAATTAAAATTAAACAAGTACATTCATTCGGCTCACATTGGGACAAAGAAGAAAGTTAAACATAACACTTTAAATATATTGGGAAAAGTGCGTAAAGCTCCGCTTAACTTTTCTAGCTCATAGGGAAAAATCTCTTTGCGTAAGAGCTCATAAGGACTGAACCGATCTTACTAGTCTGCGTTGATCTCTGCCTTATATCTCTAAAATGCCCGACCGATCGCGGGGAGCCGGGGAGGGGTGGGAACGCGACGAGGGGGGCCTTTCCCTCTCTCCCCAATCGCCTTTCCCTTTTTCTCCCTCTCCTTCCCGTTTCGAGTCCTACCACGCAGGCTGCGTTTTCGTCTCTCCTGAATGTTACCTGAGTCGGTTTTCGCCGCTCTCTCGGGGTTAACAGTCCTTTGATTGTAGCCTCCAGTGCAGGCACTTTCTTGGGGCACGCGAATGTCTAATGTCTTTGCTCGCGAAAGCGCCATGTTGAATTAAACTCCCGAAGAGAGCAGGGAGGAAATGAGGCGAGTCTTTCGCCCTAGCACCTACCCTTAAGGTTACTATTTTAACTTCCCCTAATCTTCCTCCGTCATAAAATCAAGATGGCGGTTACAACAACACGAATACAAACAAGCAGCTTTCGCCTGCCCAAAATACGCCTGCACGGCAGGCTATCTGATTGAGGAAGGAGCACGGGCTTATTTCCAGAACAGCGGCTGGTAATCGAGTCTTAAATGTCACCTGGCCGTTTTAACTGGTGGGCACATTGAACTCTGCAGACTACGTAAAAACAGGCGTAAAAATGAACTTTGCAATTAACGCGACTTGTTCAAGTGCCGAGGTTACTCAAGGCTGGTAGACAACGAATTTAGTCCCCAAATGGGATTGTCCTCTTTGATATTGACTTTTTTTGACTTTTTTCAACAACTCAAGACGCGGTAGTGAGAGAAACTACCACTGGTCAGGCTTTGGTGTTGGGTTGCTTTGGTAGACTAAAAAATAAAATCAGAATTACAAATCACAAGTGCAAACTATGAGTAACAACAATACCTAAAGGAGCTTAAGGTTTGTAACACAATCTTTCTGGAGAACTCTGTTTATTCACTGACAAACCTAAATTGTTTCCTCAGTTCATTTTAAGCTACCAGACGTATTAACAAAAACATTAATGGCTAAATATAATCGAAGCAGTGCTTTGATTTCACGATATAAAATCAACACGTGTCTTAAAAAAAACCTCAAAAATACACATAACAACTGCTCAAGATATTTGCAAGTTAACAATACCGCAGATGATGGAGTTATCGTTCTGGTCTTTTATCTCCGCTTTGAGCTTCAATCCTCCAACAGGAAAGTCCTCAGAAATGTACTCTGTGTATACAAACTCAACAGCTTCCCCACTCTTCAGTGGACATGTCAGTCCATGCCCTTGACAAGCATCAGGATCCGGCAATGGCAGGGGAACTGGTATTAAACCAAATATAGCATAGGCATAGATCTTTGCCGTCGTCACAGCTTCTTGTGGAATGAAGTTGATGGTTACTGTTTCGTTACCTCCTCGCTTGAGGACACAAGGTTCTTCATCACACGGTGTTATATCAATGGACAATATCTCTCCAAGCTCTTCACCTGTGCAGTTATTGTAGCTGATTTGCTTGGAGAGGACAGTTGTAAATGTAAGCAGAACTGCGATGAAGAAAACTGAGCCTTTCATTCTGCGATTTGTTGTCTACTGCGTTTGGTTTCTTGGAGGCGTTGGTTCGTGTGTGAGGTGTGAGGTCAAAGGATTAAAAAAATAACTAGCACTCGCTGTCAACGCCAATGCTTTGTAACCTGCCTACAGGTGTATCAGTATGTGCATAAGTGTTTATCGATCGCGTCACCCCCCAAAAATAGAACTCTCATATATCCCCATGATAGAGCGATTTTACTTGAACCGTGAAACAGGTAGTAGATTACTACGCACTACTATGCACTAATTCTATTGTCTTCTGTTTTTATCCTCTTACTATTTTTCACTATTTGTTTGTATCTGTTTCATTATTCAAGTAAAATCACTCTATCACATGATTCACATCACAGTGTCTAATAGTGTTCTTCAATGCCGTGACCCCGACCCAAAACTTCGTGCCATCCCGTAATCCCGCGGGTTATTTTTGGCAACCCACCTCCCGCGCCTACTTTCAATCCCGTATCTCGCCCTGATTTCGCTTTAAAATCCCTTATACCGGGCTTCAAAATTTGGGAATTCCCGTATCCTGAAAAACGTATTGAGGACCCTCTGTTGACTTCGTCAAAATTGCTAAAATGAAACTAAGGACCTAGGACTAAAGAAAATTGAGATAATAAGGGTTAAGGACTAAAGAAAAACTAAAAAACGTTGTTCGAGATTACGCCAGATTTTTTAACCAGCAACTGGCAACAAGTCATTGTAATAGATAGGACCATTAACGTCTTTGATCGCCCTATAAAATAAGATTTATTTTTTAATTATTAAATATTGCTGACCCAATACAAGGCAGAAAAAAATGTTTTTATTCAGTCCTCAAAAAGCTACCGCACTACCACCTTGAGTTATGGAGCAGAATTTGCATGTTTTTAACTTTTTCCCGTATTGCGACTTGCTTAGTACTATCCAAATAGAAAAAGAAAATGAAGTTGTGAATGGTTGGAAAAAAATTTGACATTAACAAATCAGCGGCTTCAACAGAGAGCTTAACTGAGTTTGCGGATTTGAATTGCCATTTTCTCACTGGTGAAAATCCTAGGTGAACATATTTCATACCAAACTACGCTTACATATGACATTTTATACGGAAACAGATGGCGTAAAGTCTTTCTCAATAGTTTTGTCTATACTTTATTTTTTTTAAGTCAAAAAATGATAGGATATATTTGACTCAGTCTGAAAGGTCAAAATCTAAGTTTATTCTACTAAAATTTATTTATTTATCTGAAAAACCTCTCGGTAGACTTTAACAACTTACATGTAAAACATGAAAATCTCACCAAAATGAAGATGAATTTCTTCTTTCATTTTTTTTCTTTGTATATCACGCTCATGTCGACATGACAGTGGCAAGTCTTGGCTCATCTCATTCATCTGCTCAACGTTTTGAAAGATTTCCCAAAAAAATATTAAATAATAAATACATGAAATTGAATAAAATACACGTAACTGTACATGTGATGTGGACTACTTCCTTCAGCCCGTCCAATGACATTGCAAAAAGGAACTGGGCCCCCTCGTTTATCGCTGCTGGCGTGCATGGCTTACGCGCCTGAGGGTAACTTTACATGTAAAGACTGAAAAATAAGAAAATTAAGAAAACAAAGACTTTTCTAAAAAGTAAAATGCAGAAAAAAGATGTTTTCTACTTTGATCGGGCAACTTCTATTTTCTCAAAGTAGTTGGCCCCTGTGTAGCCTGAGGAGTGCAATCAATAAAGTCCATAATCGATAGTAATCGATAACTATTGATAAATCCATTGATTGAATTGAGAATCGAAAAAGTTGTTGCTAACTGATAATTATCGGTTTTCATCGACTTCTATCGAAGTTATCGATTTTAATCGGTACTTAAATTTCCATGTGTTTTAGCAGTTAACATTGGCAAAGTACGTTGTTTGCGGAACATATAGCCTGCGTGGCAGGCGTTAAAAGGAGAAGGGGAAGGGGAAGGGGGAATTTGGGCGCGCGAGGGAGAAAGGAAAGGTTCCCCTCCTCCCTCCTCCCTCGCGCTTGGTCTCGCGCTCTAATTCCCTTCCCCTTCCCTTTCGAACGCCTGCCACGCAGGCTACGGAACATACTGAGTGCATTATTTATATGACTTAGGACGGATAAATTTGTAGCGAAATTTATTTTAAACATAACACTCAACATTCAGTAACGAAACATTTTCAGCTATCAACAGGACAAAAAAAGAGTTATGCTGTTCGCAAGTTTTTCAATCAACCTCAAGGGCAGTGAAAGATCGTGAAATCGATAATATCGTTAAAATCGATCAAATCCATAGCGCTGACAACGAAAAAAGTTGTTGTTATCGATTTTTATCGACTGACCGTTTTAGTCGATATTAATGAAAAAGTGATTATCGACAATTATCGAATTATTGATTGGTCAGTCCGATATCTGTTTTTATATGCACTCGTCAGGCCGTGTAGGAACAGAACAGGTGATCGTGGGCGTGGTTGGCTTGAAATTTGACAGGTTTTTTTTTACCTTTTTTGCATAGCTCTCTGGTCTAGAACAACCTTTTCCAAATAAAATATATGATCGACTCAAAGATCGTTGTCAGACTCGAAATACCCATCGGATTTGAATTTATATTTTGAAAGCAAAAAAGGGCAATTTTTGTGCGAGTGAGGTGTCGTGGAGAGAGACTGGAAATGAGGGCACCAGTCCACTATCGCGCAAATGTCATGGCGGCCTTCCACGCCTGTGTTCGGTTCCAACAGGTAATTTGCAGTTTTTACTAAAAAATCTTTCGAAAAGCTGAGGTCATATGCTGTACAGGGAAACACAGTATTTTGGCACTAGTAACGCCTTAATTTCAGATAACAACTAACCCGGTAAACATCAGAACTCGCAATCCTTCGAATCACCCTTTTGATACGTCGCAAAGAGCAACATGGACGCACGTGAACTTCCAGCAGAAGATACCGTGGAGTATTTAGTCACCGAAGCGAAGGACTATTGTTTAACTCATGGCCTAGTCATGCAATCCAAGGAATCGTACTTTACGGTAGAACATGCACCATTTACTCTTCTTCCTACTGCTTTTCCGAAGCGAAGGTTCCTTCAAGCCAAAGAGGTACAGAAGGACTTTAATGTGTTGGTCTATCGAGTAAGTCAGGATCATGAATTTCTAAAGGAAGCTTTGAGCGGGTAAGGAATAAGACAATCTTTTCAAGCATAAGATAAATCAAACAGTTGTCGCAGCCTTTTGAGTGGTTCGTGATGGGACTCGATAAGAGCCATTTCATTTAATATTTGTTTGTTTCTTTTATTTGCCCCTTCAGGAAAGGGGTTTAACAGCACTCTAGCTTCATCCGGAAAACTTTATCCACCAACTTGATATCAATGATTCAACTAGCCTACCTAGCAAGTGTTTTCGTGTGGTTTCAGAGCAGAGAATGAGGAATGAGAGTCTAAGGGGGTGTTTACATGATGTCAGGGCGACTTTTGCCCGGGTGCGAGTTCACCTCCGGTTCCCTCTCATGACTCTATATTTGTTTAGGTGATACCATCACAAAATGTCATGCCGGCATGAGTCAACCCGGCATGGGTTCACCCCGGTTGTTGTACGGGGGCAAGAATTTCTTGCAACGGTATCGTGTAAACGAGAATGGACCACCCGTTTCTGTGTGAAATTGGTCTGCCGGTGGACTGGAATGGGTAGTGCATGCGTAATGTTTGCGATTTTGAATCACACGTGTATTTTATCAACATGAAGTGTACCTTCAAATAACGTGATATGAAATGACCCTGTCATCATGTAAACGCGATAGGAAATCAAAAAGGTCATTCTGGGATGAAACTCGCGCTGGTGTGAGTTTTCTCATGTAAACACCCCCTAATACCTTGAGAAAAATGACGCAAGTAAAAAGAATGGGGAGGGGTTGGGGAAGAAAGAAGGAAACGCTAGCAGACAAACCCCGGGATTTTGAAAAGTGCCCACTTGGCCTTTCATGCCTGACTGCACTCACTGACATTTGATGCTGTCATCAGCTGTCATAAATTGACCAATAAAATGTTTGGCCTTCCAATATTTATCAGTCACACAGTCAATTCCTACAAGCAATGAACAAATGATGAAAACTAAATTACATACTTTTGCACGTAAACAAATTCTGCAGAAACCATAAAGAAACTTGTGAAAAAATGACTGAAATATGGCATTCACATAACTAAAGCATAATGTAAAACCAGTTGGCCTTTGTGAAAACACATCATAATTATGTTTTCATTCAGATTTTTTGATATATTTTTCGTTTACAACGTTATTCAAACTAGTTGCCTCTTCTGTGTAGAAAAAAAGTAGCAGACTTCTACGAACAAAGTAGCTGATGCGTTTTGTCGGCCGTTGGTGCCTATTGAAACTCCTGCTGATCTTTTGAGTTGTATGCTAATACATAAGAGTTATCTGTATTATAGAGGTAGCATTGTCCACAGTAAAAAAGTGTTGAGGGCAAAAGTGTGATAAGTGGGCCTAAGCACAATAAAGGTCCTGTGTTACCTCTGTAAACAGCCTGACCTTAAAGTAAGAAAACTAGGTTGTGGGGGGTTGCAAGCAGTTCTGGCAAAAAACCTACTGAATCAATAAGCTTAGGAATAAGCATTGTGAAAACCTGCGATCATGCTCCCCCCGCCTTTTTTGAGAAGAGAGGGAAAAAAGAATGGCTAATACAGTTCTATCTCAACTCGCTAACTGCCCCTGCTTTAAGTGAAGTAACATCTGGTTGACCTGTCATCAAGGCACGTAAAACGTCTGTTACAGAAAAATTTTGTGCTCAGGAAAATCAAAACAATAGCTATCTTCACTTGTCGTCATTTTTGTTTAAGTTTGGAGATTGTGTTAACTACATGAATCAGGGACATCTCATTCAAACACCATTTTAACAATTGCAAGAATCACAATCACCCATTGTGTCTGGTCTAGCCACAAATAACTCAAGACTCTGGATTTTTTTCGTGTCATTTGGTAAATAAATGTTACAGGTCAAAATTGAATTCAGGTTAAAATATAGGTTGATTGTCAATTCCCTTTGTCTCCTAGCCCTAATACATGAGTAATTAGGGCTAGAAGACCAAAGAATTTGAGAATCAAACCTACTCCCATTAAGAAATACTAAATATTATTTTTATTGCTCTAATTTAGCACCATAGAAGTGGATGACTTTACAGCAAAAATATTTGAAATTTATGAGATGACAAGAAAAGAGGGATTATCACAGGTACGTGTAAAAGATTAAAGTAAAATGCATTAGACGAAATATAGCCCCTCAAAACACTGATCCTCAAAAGGTTTGAGAGGATTTTCTAGTCAATTGATCAATATACAATCAATCAATTAAGAAATGGTCCAGATAAGAACGATAGCAACAACAGCAACGAACATGTTGGAATGCAAAAAAGGTGCTAACTTTTCTATTGTCTGTACTTACTTCTGATTGGCTTAAACAGCAAAAGTTAACAAAACTTCATAAAGCAGTACATATATTCATCCTTACTTTCCAACCATCTTCCATAATTATAACAAAATCTGGTCTCAGTTTGAATAACAAAGAAATCCTATGTGGGGAACATGTAAAATTGTAAACTTTTCTTGGCTACTGTTTTCAACTCTTGTGATTGGTCAAAATCTTTTAACACAAAAAAACACCCTTTCAAAGTGAAGTGTAAATGCATTTTATTGCGTAAACGGCCTTCATGTAGGTTTATGCATTCTCTGTGTAAAAATGAGAACATTCCTATGTGGGGAAAGCACTGTTGCCGCATAACAAAAGAAATTGCTATCCACCTTTAATACCCGGATCATTACTTAATCAGAACCTTTACTTCACATCAAATTTACAGTAGCAGACTTGCTGGTACTCTGAGAAAACTGCAAACATCTGATCAGATAACAGTATTATTTAGCTTGCTAGTTGGTTTTCTTATTTGCTAAAATCGTATAATGTGTGCTTGCTTATTAAAAAACATTGGTTTGTCAATTCTTGCAGCCAATTTCCCTTGGAATTTTACGGTCAGACTATATGCTAGACAAAGGAAACAAACCAGATGATCTTAGCATCAAGCAGGTGGAGATCAATACAATTGCCTCATCTTTTGGTGGACTGAGTCCACAAGTGAGAGCATTACACTCGTAAGTAGTAGTAATACTAGTAACAGAGAGGACAGGTGTGACGTTACATTACCATGGTAGTAAAATTTCTGGATCACAACAATAGGGAGTTTTTGCAACGGCGACGGCGAACAGCTTGAAGAAGCAATAGGTTTAGATTGGCAGAAAAACAAACTTGCACGTGCATCACCCTTTTTTGTACATTTCTTAGTCGTTGTTGCACGACTGCGACATGAAACTTCTTAATTTCATGCACCTGCCTTATGGAGTAGGCGAGCACACACAAAAATTAATGTTAGACTTTTTATTTTTCTAAACTAACCATCCTTTTGGATTTAAGCCAGAAAATCTTGCCAACATTTGACAAATTAAATGAAATTAAATAAGATCAATGGAGTTTGAAACAGTGTGAATCTGCCTTTTAAGTAATGTTTTGGGTTGTTGTCATCCAGCAAATTTGCTATCATGGCAACGTGAAGTAACAACTTTTCCTCTCTATTTTAAGTATGTACACACTCTTGGTAGTGCTCTTAAATTATTCATGCCGCGTGGGAAATTTGCCTCAGTCAATCAGAATGATAAACCTGATCTGGTTAGTGACATGTCATCTGTATTGAATTTCTGCATTTGTTCCTCAGATGTCATTTTGCAGGCAAACAGTTGGTGACATCGCCAAATGTCAGCTGCCTTCTCAGGCTAACTCCTCCATTAAATTTCCTCTGTTTTTTTTTTGTCCGTGCAAATGCAAATGATTGCAGTGCCCGTCGGGTGAGGGGGCTACTCCCTATAATGGCCCACCTCGAATAAGCGCCCATCCTGAAGGTAGAAAAATATAATAAGCGCCCAGCCTCGAATAAGCACCCACCTCGAATAAGAATAAATACGGTATTTGAAGCTCAGGATTCGGAATTTTAAAGCAAAATACCGGTAGAGGTAAGATTCGAGGGAGGTTATAAGTTTAATGACCATGGGGATTTAGAGGATTGCACTTGTGTCAGAATGATGTGATTGATGAACCCTAAACACTTTTTGTGTTATTGACATTTATATCGTCCTTTTTGAACTTAAAAAACGGCTGTTTGTTTTTATCATATGTATATTAATACGACAGAATAGACTTTCATGTATTGTGTGGTTCCAGAAAATATCCAGGCCCCCACCACGGAGGGAATTGGAAATTCCAGGGGGGTGGGGGGGTTAGAGGCCAAGGAAATTCCAGAAGGGAGGGGGTTGGACCATAAAATCACTTTCCAGGGGGTTGATATCATTTCGTTTTCGACCTGTGTTCGAACATTGCTTCTTACCGACCTGGTAGATCATTTTTAGGACATAAATAACTTGAAATATATCACTTAAGCTTTTTCCTTTTGATCTTAACCAGGTTTCCTTTCTTCCAAAAGCGTTTTGGATGTAATTTCAAAGGAATTAGACCGACTACAACTCGTTTTATCGCATGCTCGTGTATTCGGCCGCCATTACTCATTACCAGTCTCCCTCAAAACATCAACACTTGCAACACATCACGTTGCGTTAGTCGATCGATCAGTAGAGTGGCAATTTTGCCTGACGAAGCACAAGCTATACATTGTAACCATTTTAGAAAGTAGAGTTTTTATTCTTCTTTTAATTTTCCCTTAATTTTGTGGTTGAAGGTGTGGCATGTTCATGATCGAATCCTCGCTGAAATGCTGTCGATTTCACCAAACATTTATATGGCCATCGCGCATCATGTCGCATCAGTCGATCGAAAAACAGTAAATTGAACTTGGTTTCCCTTCAAGATGCACGGGGTATTCATTGTTATCATTTCAGAGTTCAGAGTTTTTATTCTTCTCTTTGTTTTGCATTAATTTTGTGGTCGTAAGTTTGACTTGTTCTGCATTCCCGCACGAAATGGCGTTAATTTTATCAACATTACGCCCATGAAGACGAATAGCAAATCGTAAGCTTGCCCTGATTAAGGTAAATTCACAAATGTAACCGACTTGTTAACTTTCTCTGTTTCATTTAAAGTAAGAGATGAGCAAAAATTGCGGATCAGGTTACTTTGTGGTGGTGTAGTGTGTTTTAATGTTCGATATCACTCAAATAAATGGAAACAGAAGCATACTAGCTTCTGATGGAAACCGTTGCGTACGAACCATAAATTGCCTCATTCTTCTACTTTAATAGTCTTTCTTCGTGAAAATGAACTTCTCCAGAGGGGTTGGGGGGTCTTTGTCACACTTGTGGAAATTCCGAGGGGGTGGGGGGGTCATCAGTTCCCTGCAAAAATGGAAAATCCAGGAAGGTGGGGGGGTCCTAAGTGAAATTCCCTCCGTGGTGGGGGTCTGGATATTTTCTGGAACTACACATTATTGTTTGCTTATACTTGCTGTTAAAAAATATTTCTGCAAAAATGTTTAATGAATTTGGAAGAAAGACAATGAAAGCATGATTCATTATAAAAGATTGAATGTTTTTTATGATGATATACTTTCAATAACCACGTTAATTAGAAGTATGTTTTCTGGTAATGATGAGCAAAAGGTGTAATATTGTCTGTTATTTACAGGTTCTTATCAGATCTTCAGAATGAACATGACCCAAGTAAAAAAGACAAGGTAACTTCACATACATAATTATACATCTATAAAGCGAAATATTTGAGATTTTTCCTGTCTTTTACAAATGCAGCTGATTTCGTATTACAAGTGCGGGTTCAGGGAAATTGGCCGTGGAACTGCGAGAGCAAATTCCAGTGGAGCTGGCTTCGTCGGCTCCGATCCACTGCCGAGATTTTCCTTGATCTCGTGCAAGTAAGCCCGCTCCAGGCTAATTAGCCATAATTTGGCATAATGATGTCTTTTTACCCTACTTCTAAGACCAGCATTCATTTTGTTTTTCTTGCATGTTTAAATTTAGTAATGCCAGCAAGGTTTAAATAACAAAAGCCTTAATTTGAACAAGAAAGTAAAACCCTGTTCAAAGGATTCTGGTAGTAATAAAATGAAGCCATTTTGAAAATGGCCTATTAGAAACTGCATGGTGAGGGATGGATGGAACTTTTTGTTGGAGTAGTGGGATGGAGGAACCGAAATCAGGGACCCTCTGAGATGCCTCTCGGCAGCTCTAAATGAAGCAGGCTTAACCCTTTAACCCTGTAAGTCCTAAGAGTGATCAGCAGGAAATTTCTCCTTACTATATGAATTCTTTAGAAAACAGAGTGTTCATGAGAATTGAGTACATGATCAGGGAAGACGAGTCTAATAATATTGTTATTTCCACAAATTCTCCCCACTACTTCTATTGAAAAAGTATAGGGACAGTGAATGGGAATCTCAATTTTGATATTAGGGTTCAGCCTTTGATATTAGGGCCTCAGCGTCTAATTTCTCCTTAACAATAGCAATGCCTGATCAAACGTACAGGTCATGAGAGTGAATGAATAGACATTTTTACTGATACTTTGGCCACATTGAATTTATTAGATTTAAGGAGTATTATGGGATGCCCAGGGGCATGACTAAAATCCAATATACTCGCTCAGTATTTAGGCTTGCTTTTCGGGCCAATTTTTCTTTAAGTTTTCCTAGAAAAATATTGTGATGGAAAAAAAAAGATTTTTGTGCTGTGTTTTGACGTAATAACGATGGCCTTTTTTCCGAGAAATATACAGTAAAGTTCTCTTTTTCTGCGAAAATCATACACAAATACTGAGCGAGTGCCCCCTGGGCATCCCATAATACTCCTTAAATCTAATAAATTCAATATGGCAGCCGCATTAGTAAAAAGGTCTATTGATCAACAAAGATCAAATGTTTTGATGTTTGAACAAATTCTCTCAAGCAGTACCATATGAAATGTATGGATTACAGTGATGAGAGTGTGCCTGTTGGTATTGGTGCTTAAAGGGTTAACGGGCCAAACTTCTCTTTCCAGCTTCCCGTAAATACGTCGTGTTTGGGTGTGGCTGCAGGACTAGTAGATGCATGGAAGTATTATGGAAATGAAAGGTTTGTGAAAACTGTTTTGATGATTGATCTTTCTTTATAAGGTCATATGAATACAGTGGTTGTTATATGATACATTACACTGCCACTAAGAAACTCTGGGCGTCGTAGAGAGTTTTGGAAGGGTTTATAAATACTGAAATGCCCTGACATGATTCCCATCAAATTTGTCAAACTTGTTGCGGATAGTTGGACCTCTGACCGCCATTATTAACTACTGACTATATCAGGAAATCGTTCCTTCCAAATGCATGGAAACAGGCAAGATCAGTCCCATACTCAAAGTAGATCTGTCTATAGCTGAGGGACACTTTAAACCAATATCTATCCTCCCAGCTCTAAAGTTTTTGAAAGGATTGTTGCGAAACACATAAATGTCTACTGCGAACTGGAAGCTACTCTCAATTACAATTTATCTGGTTTCCACAAAGGGCACTCTATATGTGACGATCTACTCGAGCATTAAAAAGGTGAAGTTACACTGGCGGTTTTCGCCGACTTTTCGAAGGCATTCGACACAGTTCGGTACAAGACACTGATAACAACGCTATTTCCCCTTGGTTTCTCGAAGAACTTTCTCAGATGGCTGGCTAGCTATCTTAGTAATCGTTTTCACTTTGTTCAGATAGATGACCAGATGTCAGATAATGCTCGCGTGCGTTTGGTGTCCCTGAGAAGTCAATTCTTGGGCCAATGCTTTTTAACCTTTACGTCTCTGATCTACAAGATAACCTTCCAAATTCAGTTACCACTTTTCAGTATGCAGATGACACTACAATTTATCAAAGCTGCCGCATTACTAATCTTACTGAATCCACAGAGAATTTGAACAGTGCTCTTAAAGCTCTAAGCTTGTGGTCTTCTCTCTCACATCTGGCGCTCAATCCGACGAAAACAAAATCTACTCTGCTCTCTACCAGCTAAATGGCTTGTGTTCATTGCTTGCGTGAGATTAGTTTAGACCTTCAGATTTCAGAAAGAGGACTGGAACGCGTCGAGCAGACCAAACTACTCGGTCTGCATTTACAGGAGCATCGTAACTAGGATCAACATTGTTAAGACGTGCTATAGTCCACTTAGTGTCTTACGAAAGATAAAGAACTTTGCCGAGTCTAGTCTTAGGAACTTTACTTAGCTCAAGCATTAGCATTAGATTATTGTGATACTGTATTTTACCCTTTACCTGATTTCCTGTTGAAACGCTTGCAACGATTTCAGTTCGCTGCAGCAAGCTTTGTCATGGAACGATACGTTCGGGAACGCGAAGATATTCTTAAACTTGGATAATTACCAATGAGAGAACGGAGGGACTTTTGCTTGCTCAAATTAGTGCATAAGGCGCTCTATATGAATAACTGGCCGTCATACTTGAGAATCAATCAAGTAACCTAGTCTGCGTACATTACGTTCCAGCTCTGCCACTAGGCTTTCAATTCCACTCGGAAAGGGCACCTTTCAGGACTCTGGTGCACAGCTTTTGAATAGCCTTCTTGATCATCTCGAGATGTGCGGTGACTTTAATTTTTATTTTAGGGGGGTTAAATCGTTTCTTTTATCTCGATAAATTTTGGGATTTTTTTTTTATTTTCACTTACTTTCATTTCATTTCTTTTCTTTTCTTTTGTCATTTTTATCTGTTGTAACTATTTTTGTCTATTGTGTATGATTAACACATTGTAAATATTTTTACCCCTAGTTAATTGAATTTATATAGGTATAACAGATGAAGAGCCACTCTGTGGAAATACTGTTATGAAACCGTTTATTTGAATAGAAGGGCTTAATCGGAGGGGGCTTATAACCGGGATAGAAAAAGTGCATCGAAGCAAGCTACAGCATTGCTGATCAAAATATGTTTTGGGTTTACTGGTATTTCAATTATTTATAAGCTTCAAATTAAAATTTGATTTCAACCTAGCTAACTCGTTGGAGGTTAAACTTTCAAGCCTTCAGAAAAATTAATAAGGAGTTAATTTTAAACCCGTGTAGACTGCGAGCAGTCCTTAATCTCTCTTCACTTCTTACCTTAATCAAATTTACATAGTTTTACATTTCGCACGCTGCCTCTGGCTCTGAGGAAAGAAGAACGACTTCTTGTGGTCCCGGGGGGGATACTTAAATTAATTTTTGCTGGGTGTGTGCAGCTGGCCTCTCAGAATCCCTACCCCATTATAGTTCATTTTGTGGCCAATTATAGACCCCATCTTGGTCACTTTTGGGCAAATATGTAATTTTCGCGATCCCAACTTAGTCACTTTCTATTTATGTATCTACCTTATACTGAATGAAGAATACTTTACTTTTCACACACAGTACAAATATTCTGGTACGTTTGCTAACCCTAAGTATATGAAGAACTGTCTTACCCCCCCAAAAACAGAAAATGTGCTACCCCATTCTAGTAACTCTATTAAAAATGCGACCCCATCCAGCGGCACATCCCCATTATTCTCTTATAAGGAAGTACCCCCCCCCCCCCCGGTCGCGGCCCAGCCTGTGTTTTGGGACTTAGTCTTGTATGAGTTGATTGTCATTCTTGTTGCATTAACAGGGCTGTAGCAATGATTGTAGTGTCAGAAGATGAGCGGAACAGATTTGACCAAAGATGGGTTCAGCATCTCATGCGAGAACAGTAAGTTGCAGGGTATCCCACAATTAATTAAGTGATTCTATTCATCCATTTTGCGGCTGAGTTTTATCTTTGGATTTAATTTCATTTTCCTTTATTTCAAACTCATTATCATACATTACCTAATGTTCTTCTTATCAGGCGGTAATCGGTAAATTTTGCCGCTAAGATTACCATGCCTAAAATCTGGGCAAATAAAGTCTTAAACAGGGATAAACTTTAGGCACAACGTCTACACGTAAATCTCATGCCCACAATGTTTGACTTTCTACTAAAGACTACCCATGAAAAGGACGGAAAAAAAATAGCCAGGGGTCTTTTCGATTTTATGAAGCAAAGTCCCGGAAACCATGACCCTTTAGGGGCCTCGTCCACACTATCCAGATATTTTTGTAATCGGGGAGTTTTTTTCTCCGTTTTAGCCGTGTGCTACCTAACTTCCTAACTAAAATATACAATTTGATATGGCAGGAGGGTTAATAGAAAAATCACCTGTGCTTTTTAGAGTCCATATTGCATTTGTTTTTAATTAGTATCTTAGTTATAGATGTAGGGCATTTTCACATGACGTTACGTCTGGCATATTGCTGTCCCAAAACAGTAAAACGGCGACCATGTTGGTGTCTCAAAGGGACAAAGGGAGTTAAACCTTTCTCTCGTGTAAAAATATTCTTTTGCTCCGTGAATTTCCATAGCTGCTGGCCACGTGATTGAAAAGGCTTTGTTGGTCATTTGCGCAGCTTGGGACTTGGTCAGAGTTGTGTTGGATTACACTACGAGAGTGTTTTGAGGGACGACTGTTTACCCCGTTTCCCGGGCAACCTCGTGATGTGATAGCATACCTCCAAAGGTCTCATTCGCCATATTCACATCTCCCATAATACGCATTTTTTGCCACTCCCCCCACCCTCCTTGCTCCAAAAAACGTTTTGCATAACGTTTGTTCTTAATTTCTCGGATCAATTTAGGTTTCTGGGAAACTGCCCACCTACCCCTCCCCAATTATTAAGGTTAGCTTAGGGAAGGGGTAGGTGGACAGTTTCCCAGAAACCTAAATTTATTTAATTTCTCCTGGGTATTTACAGTGGTTCCAATGAAATTGAAGACAATGCTTATGCAAAATTTTGGGGGACAAACAAGGTGGATTGTGGGAGTTTTGCAAATGGCGAGTGGTGCAAATTTTTCGACTCAACATCGTGCCAGTCTCTCTCTGTAACGGCGCCTCCAAACAAAGAATTGTAGAATACAACGGTCCTATTTTTTTGTTGTGAAGTGAACCAGTATCTGCTAAATAATTGTTATGCAGTCAACGATGCGATTTAGAACTTGCAACGCGATGGGATGTAGAGGTGTGCATTTCAGAACTTCAACAAAATCGATCTATCATGTTACTCTTATCTTTCTGTGTGGGATTTATTGGTAGATGCATGAAATATGCATGTGCATGATCGTATGCAAACTGAATTGTTTTCAACTTCCCTTTTTACTTTTTAGTGATCCCCGTGCCCATCTTATTAGGAAGACTTTTAATGAGATCAATTCTAAAGGACAGCTGAAAGAGGACAAGACACTTATTGTGTAAGTACACAAGCGTTGTTGGCCGAAGCCTCGTTAGCCACGTTGAGTGCACTCGATGTATGTTTAACATCTATGCGAGATGCTGGTTATTTGGGGTGTTCCCTCGATCATTAGCGTCCAGTGCACTCGGGAGATTTGACGTCTTGTGGCTAACCTATCCTTCTGTCTGACATATACGAATCACCCGCTGCCCGGTGCTTAGAGCGTGTCCAACTAGTAATTGAAGTGTGGTGGGTTCGGGTGTCGGGTTTCATTTCCGAGCATTTCTGCTTATGCCACATTATACACATACCTACTTCAGTTTCATCGCATTGGGCTGTTGATCGGCTAATTTACACTCAACCTTTAAGTTCCAATAGTAACCAACATCAATTTTCTCCCAACGATATCCATAGATTGTCAAAAGCAAAGTCTATGAGAATTAACAAAATGATCACAAAGAGAAAAATCTTTGATCTTTTATCAAATTCTCTCAACTAATTCTTTAAGGAAATATATAGAGATCAGTCTGGAGAATTTGTACGTGGATATTAGGTCTTAAAGGGTTAGAAGCTTTAAATATTATTATTATTTTTTATTTGAACCGGTTTGAACGTACACCTCGCATGGGACTTGAGTCCCGTTCGTACACATTCCCTCTGGGCTGACCTGTGTCCAGAAAAGCTGATAAATATTATTCTGTTTATTCAGTGTTTGGTTGATCGCTTTGGTTAGCACTCTTCTTATCAGGAAACAATGGAAATAAAAGAGGAAGGCAAAATACTCGTTAATCACGTAAAGCCGTTTGGAAAACTAACATGCCAAAGTTCTAACAAATTCTTCAAAATGACTGGGTGCTTTTCCTTCAAGTTTAACTCTAGGCCCAGTTGTTCGAAGGCCGATTAGCGCTTAAGCATTTTCTCGGAAATTTTTTCTTTCATTTTTAAGAGCATCCAATCACCAACTTGTTGACAAAAAAAATTAAACGGAATTTACTTTTTAAGCTTTCCTATCTGAATTCAAATTTTGCACTAACCCTGGACAGTGCTGAAATGTGTTTAATCACATGCGATTTCATTTGTAGACAGTAACCATTTCTTGCTTTTTTCAGGGACGGATATGAAATTGCTGTTGTGTACTTCAGGAATGGCTATGATCCACATCAGTACTCCTCAGAAAATGTATGTTGAAAGGGGAAATGCATCTTAGATTAAGATCTACTCACCTTAAACCAAGCCTTAAATCGGAGCTGCGGTAAAATTCAAACTTTTTCTTTGAAACGACAACAACAGCAAAATGTAATTATCCTGAAGAAATTCATTTCTTCTACCTAGTCATGACTTACTGATACTACCATCGTAGTAATTGATAGTAGACTTTCATTTCCTTCCAAAAGTGATGATTAGTACTTTTCTTGTTTTACTTAAAGAACAAACGCAAAAAAGTTTGTAAACTTAAGCCCGTGATCCAATGAAAAGCTGTCAACTGGTCGGCAGGAATATACTTAACCTGACAACCTAACACGATCTGAAGAATAGATACCTGTGGTACACCTCTATTTATATTAAGGATCACTGTGCCATTCTTTTCTTCACCTCACCATTAAAACTCAGCGACTTAAAAAGCATGGAAGAAGTGTCGCGACGTAATGCACTGACTAATGAATTACATGGTTCAGTAAACAGTTTTTCTTTCTTTTTGTACATGGTTTTATGCATTTTGAGCGTCCCAATGCTGATGCTTTGAATTTTACACAACATAGGATTGGAATGCTCGTCTTATGATGGAAAGATCCCGAGCGATTAAATGTCCCTCTGCAGCTCTTCACCTCGCTGGTACAAAGAAAGTTCAACAAGTGTTGGCTTCGCCTGGAGTCCTGGAAAGGTACTTTAAGGCTCAATGCCTTCATTTATTTTATTTTGTTTTATTTTATTAGCTTCGCCTATCACATGATACAGAGAGAAAAAGAAAAGAAAAGGAATGAATAGATACTGAAACAAAGAATAATACATGTTTATATAACTAGGAAGGGATACCACAACAGCGGTAAGACAGTTACAGTGGTCCCATTTGTCCTGATTAGCCCTTTTTTCTGAAGACCTTTAGCCAAATCTGCCGACACCATTGGCCGATCTTCCCTACGCTATATGTATTTTTTCGTATCGCTTTTATCCTTTGGCTTAAAATGTCTGACTAGGTTGGCCAAAACTTGACGAATATTCATGCCACACCAAGGCTCCTAAAGTTGGCCGTTCAGTCCTCAAAAGTACTTTTATGACCTATGTTGTACTTCTTAGTTTTCCTTAACGCTGAGAAAATATTGACATCTCACTTGAAATCTTCCAGTTTTTCGTCACACGAAAGGTTCCAGCTAAGTTATTATTCATGTCAACGTTTCTCAAGAACTTGCACAAGTTTTTGTTTAATTTTTTAGAAAGCAAAGCAAAGGCTTCATGATGAGCCTCATGGCCAGCAGTGCAGGGCCGTTCAAATTTGTGTGCTTTTTTATTATTTCATTGCAACAGGTTTATTTCAGATGAGGAAGTCCTCAACAGGATACGAAGCACATTCACTGGACTTTACACACTTGACGAGGTCAGAATAATTTTGAAATCCAAATCTCCGTATGCCCGTTGATTTATACCTGGTAAGCTAGATCTTTGTTATTTCGGAAGATCTGGCCCATTGCCCATTTGTGCATTTCGTATAATATACCTTGTGTACCCTCCAAAATTTCGCATAACCATTGTTTCCAATTTATTCTCAAACTTATTAATAGTTCATAAAGAAAATACAAGGGATATTAATGTTTAATGAGTGTTTGGAAATCAGATGAAAACCTGGTCATTTTTGCAGCCTTAATTTCTTTTTCTACAATGATTTTGTTTGAGATGTAATATCAAGCATTCGACACAGTGTTTCATCTCCAGATGAATCACCTCGAGGTTCGTCAAAAATACTCCGCTACGCGTCGTATTTTACACTCTCTTCACGGTGTTTCATCTGGTGATGAAACACTGCGTCTCATGCTTGATATATTACTTCATAGTCATCCTAAAGAACTTGAATTGAAGACAATGCCCATACCATTATGGGCAATGTGTAAATGGTAAATGAGGAATTGACATCGAAATGGTCTAGGACCTGAAATTGTTTTTTTTTTTGCAACAAGCTGGTAAGTCCTGGTCATTTACAGTGCGACTTGATGAACAGCCTCGGGCCACTTATCCAAGCTGTTTGAGCCGAAGAGCTGCTTTTAGAAATCAAACTGGCGTAAATACCTTGGAATAGTTTGTTCATTTTCTGTAGTCCACTTGGTTAGTTTCTTTAAGAGCCCCGTTTGCTGTAGCTGTTCCTTAAATACCTGAAACAGTAAAAGGACAAAAACTACTAGCAATAAAGTAGAACTGCTGTCGATATGCAGGCATCTTTCCGTTTATTCGCTGGACTTTAAGTTTGTTTGTTTGTTACTTTTCTAGGGACCAGAGGGAGACAAAACAGTGGAGATGGCCATAGCAGATCCTGACAGATTCGTCCTGAAGCCACAACTGGAAGGAGGAGGTATTTAAAAGCACTTTAAAAGAATTTGAAAGTTTTTATTCAGCAAGCACAACTTATTGCACCTCTGTGGGGTTATTTTCTTTGCAGCTGATGGGCATTTCCTGCATACCCTTCGCCCCCTATTCAATGTTAAGATATAATAGAACAAGTTCACCACACAAACACTCAAGTTTTATTCTACATTGGGCCAGAGGGAAGTGGGAACAAGGAAAAAAGAAGTAAAAATTACAGTTTTTACGTTTTACTCCGTTTCACTTTCAATACCCGGGGAAACGAAAGAAATAAAACAGTTAACATTTTGACTTTGCTCAGGAGTCAGTACCATGGCGAAAATATGCCGTCACCTTTCTTGATCTGTCTTGAAGATTGTCAGTTACACTAAGAGCTCCAATTAAAGACCTTTCTAAACCAGACGCTTCATTCCCATTAAGGTAGATTTTTTTCTCGGAGAGTTTGAGGCTTACCTGACATACGAGTTTCGAAACCCTTTTCCCTCTTCAGGATTCCAGGGGCTTAGTCCAATAATAGTTCGGGACGGACATCCTATAATTTTTCTAACCCACCCAGGTATCTCTTACGTATATAAAATCTTTGAATATCTTGAATTGAAGGCTGCAAGCGATGCCAACGTAGTAAGGGAAATTAAAAGCACTAAACAGTGCAGTTCTTCTTTGGTTCACGTTCTTTTGTGGTAAATTTTTTAGGATCAATTTTGGTTTCTGGGAATCTGCCCACCTACCCCTCCCCTAACGCAACGTTTACGTTTGTGTCTCACTTGGGGCAAAATGTTGGGTTAAGGGAGGGGTAGGTATCACAAAGACCTAGACCACGCCCAGATTGGTCTCCTTTTTTCAATTTTTTCCACTAGCATACCCGTCCTTTAAATAGTTAAGCTGCTGCCCAAAAGTATTGCTCACTGCAGGAATGAGTTGAAAGAGGTCTGTCCATTGCGAACTAAAAATATGTCCCTCACCCTGGTAAGCGAAAGATTGGGGATAGTCCAATTGATACGAATAGAGTCCATTGGAAGTACCAATAATATCAATCAGAGGGTACCAATAAGAACAGTGCGGTCCTTTGTAGCAGTGGTACGATTGGCACAATTGGACTGGGATGCCAGGCCTTTGGTACTGATTGGTGACATAGATCTCGTTAAGGAAGCTAAGGATTATTCCCATGTTGCCTGCCCGGGTATAAGGGGGACCCTGTGTACCAAAGGAAGGAATGGCATTGATGGTCAGGGCTGTCAGTCGTTTGGCACTAACTTGTGAATGCTTTTCACTAAGAAAGCTTAGTAATTTCCTTTTTCGTCTGGCTGGTTATGGCAGTCCATTGGTACCAGTGGTACGATTGGTACCATTGGACAGGCATGTTAGTCAATTGTTACCAAGCTTTGTCTTTTCTCCCCAACAGGACATAACATATTCGGTGAAGACATCGTGAAGACTCTCAAAAATACTACGAACGTGAAGGAACGATCAAAATACATTTTAATGGACAAAATTCAGCCTCCCGTGACAAAGAATTACATAGTGCGCGCCGAACTTCCTAAACCGGTCTTAGCAGATGTTATCAGCGAACTTGGATTTTTTGGAATTCTGATCAGGTATGTAATTGAATACTATTAATTTAGGTTATTAAACGAACCAGTGAAGTAAAAATAACATTTTATTTGAGGAGTATTAACCGTGCAACTTGACAACTCGTTAAATACTTCTTGTTGTCAGTTGTTGTGTCCCATGGAAAATAATGGTCGAGTACATTTGTTGAAAGGGGACATAATTTTATGTCGGGTTTATCCGGAGACTTGCTCCGCTGAGTGTTGATTGGTGCACTTTTTAATGGAATTAGCTTAGGAATTGAACAAACTAGCATCTGATGAATTAAATTTTAAACCTAACCATAACAGAACACAAATATGTGAGACAATATTGCGAGGAATTGCTCAACACGATACGAAAATAATCTGTGGTCCTCAACTTAACCCTAAACGTAAAACGCGGGTTTCTGTTTCACGCATCGGGGTGAGGGAAGCTGAACAAATGGGTGTTTGAGAGAGTGCAAACGTGTTTTGGACTGGAAACTGGAAAACGCGACAAAATGTTATCTTGGTCACCCTAAGGTTTACTTAAAAAAATCTGCCCTGTCACGTCACTTCATCCTTAATGACTGTCTTAAGAATATCACAGTTACCCAAAGTGGCCTCTGGGGAGCCTATTGTTGTCTTCTTTCTTGTTTCCTCTCAAACCTTTTATCAGCCTGGTAAGTTGGCTAACCAGGTGACAACACTTACTCTTTCCTCGAATGGAGTTTTCAAACACTATCCTGACTTTCGTCTGCCGTGTTTCCATCAACTTTGCATGGTAATCTTTGTTTCTTAACGATACTCGACTGGCTTTCCACTCTTTCAAATTACCACTTGTAATGAGTAATGTACACAAGTGATTCTAATAAAACGTAAGCGGTGGTGATTGAAAAAATTCGAAGCGAGCAATGGAGCATAAATTCACCATTTTCTCAGCTTGCGAGCTAAGTCGAAAAATAAAATGTTGCTGATTTAAAATACGGGGATATTTCTTTACGCTAATTATTGGTTGTTGTTGTTAGTCGAGGTGATGAAATACTGGTGAACAGAGAGGTTGGTCATCTAATGAGGACCAAGAGTATTGACCATAACGATGGAGGGGTATGTTCTGGAAGGGCCAATCTGGATAGCCCCTATCTGGTATAACACTTAAGCTCACTAATTTGGACCAAGCATATTGCCTATGACGATGGAGGGGTTTATTCTGAAAGGGCCAATCTGGATAGCCCATATTTGGTATAACACATTTGCGCACTATGTTGGACCAAGAGTATTGACCATGACGATACAGAGATGTGTTCTGGAAGGGCCAATTTGGATAGCCCCTATTTGGTATAACACCTACGCAAACTGTTTTGGGACCAAAAGTATTGCGGATCATCAGAAGAAGGGGTAAATTCAAGAGGGGCCAATCTAGATAGTTTTCATCTGGTGTAGTATTTTAGCAGGATTTAAATGACCTTCTTGGCCAATTTGGTTAGCTCCCATTTGGTATATCAACCTTAGCACAACATGTGAGATCATAAGAGTATTTACCATAAAGATGGACGAGTGTGATCAGGAAAGACCGATCTGGAAAGCCCTTGCGTGACATAACAACACCTTAACACATCATTTGAGAATTCATTATTTTAGACAACCTGTATGGTGACAGCTCCAAAATGTTGAAAACATCCTTACAATCATAACTTCTTAATCTTAATCAAAACATACGCGCTTGATGAAACTTTACAAATGTTCAAAAATCTTTGGAAGAACTTGGGGTCATGTTGGGAAATCATTGTTGGAAAGTTATTGAGCAGATTTCCGAAATCTATCATAAAAATATTAAAAAGAATATTTTTAATCATTTTCGGTACCTTGCCGGTCAACTTTGTCTTCTTAATACTCAGTAGGATATTTTGGAAATGCTCAGAATCCCTTTGCAAGTACATTATAGCTTCTGGAACCTTGCAAAGCACGGGTCGCGTTTTATGAGGTTTTTGTTCTGGGCTGGGTGTTAAATAGCAATAAGAAATAGAAAAGAGATAAATCAATCAATCCATATGATGGGTAAAAAAGAAGTCGTTAGTGTACAAACTAATCAATGGTTTTTTCAAATTCTATGTGTTTTACTAATATATTTGATGTTCGCCCCTCTAATCTTAGAAATTTGCCAATAATCTAATCTGAGTATTCCCAGACTTAAGTTGTGAGAGTTGTAGTTATAATTTATTGTACCATCCTCAGCAGGGAAAAAGCTCTTTGTTTGGGTTAAGTCTCCGAACGGGATTACGCTCGTAATTATAATGACCTTCCTTCAAATAACGTACAAATCATTCATTTAATTAGTAATTTGCTGTTGTTATAAAATATTTACAATTATTGTATGGTTAGGTTTTTGTGAGTAGCATTTTACCAGTGCATGATTTTGTTCAAATTTACCACGGCTCTAGACCAACGTTTTTAACTTACAACTGATTAAATAAAGATACGTAAACGAAGTTAAGGCCTTTACTCATTCTCCCCTTCATCCGACTACGGAGTTTTTTTTTTGCGTGGGACTTTGTTTAGAACCTAAACTTATATGAGAGGTTAGGTGCCCAACAAGTTGCGAACGATTGAACATACACCAGTTGCCCCATATACTGTTTTTTTTAAACGTCCTTAGTGAAAAGCTTAGCAACATTTAAGGAAAGAATCAACCCCGCGTTTTTTTCATAAGTTTCCAGTCACGTAATTTAACCAAGTACATCGTTAAAATGCAATGATAAGAGATGTGCAGTGCGACCAGTACCGGGGGGGGTACTGCCACATATGGGCTATATAGGTATGTGCCGCTGTGAAGGGTATGGTTTTCAAGCAGTTTACTCTAGGATAGGGTATATAAATCAGAGCGTTTGGGTCTAGAATAGGGTATCATTTTTCAGGAAACTGATCAGTTGGTTGAAGATTTTATCTAGACTAGGGAAACAGCTACTCTAGGATAGGGGGGATTTGGGGAATTTCCTCTAGTATAGGGAAGCAAAATTCAGCTGAACTAGCTCTGGTTTAGGTTAAGGGTTTCAGGGTTCCAGCAGCACATCCCCATCCAGAAATTCCTAAAGTCCCCCCCCCCCGGGACCAGTAGCTGTGATTTATGTGAAGATGAAAATACAGTCGAGCAGTGATCGACCTTTTGTCGCGTTTCTTGGTGTAAGCTTTGAAAATCCTAAACTTTTCTGGTGGTTTCCGTGAAATGCGCGCGCACAGTGAAAAGGCTCTCAACCTTGAAGACTTTGTTTAGTTCTATCTACCGATAACTGTTCGTTTCAGGTGCAAAAGAAGTTGATATTATACTGTATTGTAGATCCAGAGAAAATGGCAGTGCCCAAAAAGAAGAAAAGAAAATAGCAATAGAGTGAATGTCAATTTACATTACGAGAGAACCCGTTTTTTCTTGGTTCTTCGAGCAAAAACGGGCGAGGAAAACTTGTGACGCGCGCTTCTCGCTTGTGAAGTGTGCCACCCCATTTACTTAGTAACTCTAACGGAGAAATAAGAGACTACTGGTAGTCTTCATCAGTCAAGTTCAAAGACTTAAGTAACAAAAAAAAACGGCCGAAATGTAATTAGCCATGTTTAGTCTCCTTCCATAGACATTCCCACCTCTCCGGCGTACAAAATGCGCCCATCACAGCCACGCATCCAAGGCGAGTCTAAAGTCTAAGTTCTCCGTTACTTCCGTTTTATTTCAGAGTGCAATAGCCTTGGCAAGAGGTATTTCAAAGCGCAAGGATTTTGACATTAGGGCCATTTATACGAGGAAAAATAAGACGCGTCTTACATAAGACGCGAACTGTACCATTTATACGAGCATGTCTTATCTAATAAGACGCGTCCTAGCTAAGCCGCGTCTTATTTTAGACGAAATGTGCCGTTTATACGGAAAGTTCGCGTCTTATTTTTCCTCGTATAAATGGCCCTATTGTGCTTTCAGAACAAAATAAATAAGTGTTTGGGGACGGACCATTAGAAAAGTTATGGGGGGGGAGGGGAATTTTTGAGCCGCAGGAATTTTTTTTCGTTATCAAATTCCTTGTATGAATTTTTTTTTAGGCGATTGACGTTCAATTTTGCCTTGCGCGAATATTTTTTTTTTGTCAATGGTTTAAGACTTCAAGTTCGATTGACGTCCCTTCATTTACTCTTTATTCTCATTTCGCGAGTATTAGATTTGGCGAAAAATTATGAGCCGTATTTCGCGAATATTTAACTTTTCGATTTTTCTGTTCTTTAATATGTAAAGGCGACTTTAAACTCAGAACAGTAACAGCAGAATAAGTAATTATGGTAAAAAACAGAAAACAAAGACGATTACGAACAAAACGTCAACCAGCTAAAAAAACAAAGCATAAGGCCTTCAATGGTCTAACTACAGTGTAAGTACCCACAGATACTTACATAGTAAATATCTACACTCTGATAAACTTGTTGGGATAACTAATAAAGCAACATCTTGAATTTCGTTATTTTATGCGTATATGTATGTCTGGTATTAAATTTCGCGATTTTTCCCAAATCGCGAAAATAGCGAAATATAATTCTCGCGAAAAGTGTACTGCAAAAGTTGGCTACTTCGAACTCTCAATGCTTTTAAGAAAGTCGTTTCCTTCTCATCCTTTTGATTAACATGTCAAACAGTGAAGCAAACCCCTTCCAATAATAGCAATTACACGATCTTGTGTTATGCGGAAACCAATCAGAATTAGTCCGGCCAGTTGGTTTTGTCTGCGCGTATGCGTCTGTGTTAAACAGGAGTCCGCGCAGTTAAGAGGCAGCGTGCAAGCAAACGGGAAAAATATAAAAAAAGAGTGTATCGAACTAACTACTAACTAGTTTAACTACGAATAGAAGAATAGTTGTCATTTTGTTGTTGTTGTGTGGATTTTATGGACCACGTGTTTATTCTACCTTTTGCATACAGCTGACAGTTCTTGACCCTATTACGATCGATTCAAATAAAAGTCGGCTGAGAATAATTTAGAAAGGAAAAACACATTGTACGATCTGCTGGTCTTGTTGCTATAATTAACGTTTTAAAACCAACATTGAAGTCTGAAGACACATCATGGCCAGCAATTTGTCTTGTAACGAGGACAAATGCGGGCTAAACGAAGCGCATTGCCCTGCTCAAAACCTCAGCCTGGCGAAGGAAACAGTAATTATAATTTCAGTTATGAGCATTCATCTCATCTTCACTGTCGCTGCCGTCTTCGGTAGCTATCTTGTGATTAGAGCGTTTCACAAATTTCATAGTCTTCGAACTGCTTCTAACGTTATTCTGGTAAGTTTGTCAACCGCCGACGGTTTACTGGCGATTCCTTTGATTTTCGGCATCGTGCAAATGAGTCTTAGACTGTTAAACGGCTCTGATGCTGAGTGTAGCTCCGGTCCTCTTGGAAAAATAACCTTCATATCCAGCTTCTTTCTCATCTCCGTCATAATTCTTCACCTCGCGTTGATAAGCGTAGAACGTTTAATCGCCGTGAAGTTCGCCTTAAGATACCACACCATAGTGACCAATCCTCGAGCACTGATCGTCGCCTTGGCAATGTGGTTTTTTGCTGCGACCGTTACGATAACTTTTGCAACGACACTTGTAGCAAACAGTGGAGACATTGAACGGTTTCGCCAAGCGATGGATCCACACTGTAAAAACCCTGAAGATCCTTTGGATCACGATCTTAATCCGTTAATGAAAGGGCTTCTCATCTTTCTAGTAATGTTTTTGCTAGTCATCCCCTTGGTAATCATTTTGTGCTCATATGGCTACATCTTTATCGTCTCCTACAAACAAAGGAAAAATATAAGGGGACAAAACAACATTCCAGGAAAGGCTACCGCCATCAAGCACGAAATGAAAGGCGCCAATACTCTTGCTATTGTTGTAGCCGTCTGCCTTCTCAGTATCGTCCCACTGATAATCGTGACAGGCCTTCGCTTTTTCGGCGAACTTCCCGAACGTTGCGACCCAAAGAGAAAGTTAATTAAGTTTATTGTTTTTGACTTAGCAACAGGCTTAAACACCATCTGTAATCCTCTTGTCTACGGATGGAGAAATGAAAAATTCAGAACTGCTTTTCGCAAACTGCTGAAGTGCTCTTAAAACGCGAAGTTGTGCGCCGTTGGAAGCTGGGATAAAAGAGCCTGCTGTTTTAAATGGAGAATTTGCCACCAGAAAAAAAATTACTCGAATGGGGTCGAACATTTTCCAGACTTTAGGAGCAGGTTCTGGCATTAGGTATTTTGGGAAGAAAAATAGGAAGAAAAAAAACTGCTGCGGCATATTTAATGCCTTTGTTTTTACATTAAACACATGCGTGATCAGCTTTCATTATATCCATATGAAATTTACATTGATCCAATTTATCCAAAAGTGACTAAGATGAGTCCATAGTTTGCCACAAAATAAACTGTAATGGACTAGAGGTTCTGAGAAGCTAACGGCACATATCCAGCAAAAGTTGACCTAAGTTTCTCCTTGGGTCTAAAATAAAATGCGTTTACTCGAAAATCCCGCTGAAATTCATCCCGGTTTTAATAAACTAAATTTCAAGCTTTTGGGCAATGATAATGAGCGTTCTATTCAGTACAATGTGTAAGTAAGATAAAGACGAACTACAAAAAATTTCCAAGAACTTAAGACTGCGAGCAGTTTTTCAAAAAGAAGTGATGTTATTTACCAAAGAAGTGATGGTCGATCTAACGAATGTAGCTCTTAGCCATAACAGCAAATACAGTGTGCCGAACACATTGTTAACACAAAATCTAAGTATTGGATTATCTTGCTTTTCCTAGAAAAGAAACTTAAATAAAAACGAATAGCAAATACTGTAAGGAAAAAACGGTATTGATACACCTCGCCAGGATACAGTAAAACAAAACTTATCTGCGGTAAACGAGCGAGGCACAAAATAGATACCAGTTCTCGACCGAGAAAAACTATCACATGAGATCGAGGTCAAATGAGCCAGCCAGCCAGCCCAAGATTTCGTCCAAACCGTGAAATAATATGGCATCCAGGGCCCAGTTGCTCGAAGCATGGTCAGCGTTAACCAGCGTTTAATACCTTGACAACGTATTGGTTTTGATGCTGCTTAACCAATGGTTAAAGCTAACCATGCTTTGAGCAACTCAGCCCAGAACGATACCTACCCGCGCGACTGTAGGGACCTTAAGATCCAACGACACGAACGACAACAAGAACGTCAAAAAACAATAGGTTTAATTAGCAAAACAACAACTTCGCACGTGCATCACACTTTTTTGTACATTTCTTTCCCGTTTTTGCACAACTGCGACGTGAAAATGCCTAATTTCGCGTTTTATGGCGAACGTAATCAAGCAACGACGAAATTTTACTTCTCTTTCTAAGCTTGAATATGATCCTTTGAAATTCAGCTTCAGGAGTGGGTAGGAATAATCGCTATAAAGACTGAAAGAACGCAAATTCACTTTTTAAGCGACGTTCTTGTCGCCGTCGTGTCGTTGGATCTTAAAGTCCCTAGTGTAAATCCCGCGGGAAAAGAAAAGCGACTCTAATAGTATGCGGTCTCCTAATTCCTCAAACTGGAAATAAACACTCTTCCAGTTAAGCAGAATGATATACTAATTTTAAGCACCTTCTGTACGCTTCAAACAGATCGCCGCTGAGTGATTTAAGAGTCCTATTTTTGTATGAAGTCTCTGTAAAATATTCCTATTAAAGGAACTGCCCGTGGGTTCTGAAATTCGAAAAAGAAAAGTGTCAAACTAAGTTTTGCAGCCATATTTGGGTGTTTGCCAATTTTTCCTGTTTGGTCGCCTCTTTTCTTTACATGAACACCTGTAGAAATATGGACGTTCTTCATTGTATCTATTCCGCTCCAAACGTCTTCCGCTCTTTAATAAGTTTAATTTGTTACAAATGTCGCCAGTAAGTATGAATTTAATTTATCTCTCCTTCCGAATTCATCATTTTCCTACATAGTGGTTTACGCGTTTCAATTGATTTTTAATAACACAGCTTCATAAAGTTAGAAATGGAAACGGACGTTTCCTAGTCGCTTGATTAATGGCTCAAAAACGAAGGTGTCGAGCCAGTGTATCTACTTCCTTGAACAAAAACAATTTCTGTTCAGCTGACAGCTGACAGTGCATAGTAGAATTTAAAACGGCTATTTTAAGCCGAAACTTATCCACAGTCGCAAAGAAACAGGACCCATGCATTTTTTATGCGTGAAACAGGTTCTGATGTTGATATTAATAAACTGACTTGATAGTCTCTTAAATAATAATAATAATAATGATAATAGTAATAATGATAATAATAACAATAATAATAATAACAACAATAATAATAACAATAATAATAAAAACAATTATAATATTAATAATAATAATTATTATTATTTTAGTAATAATCAGTAATAATAATATTAATTCAAAGGAGTATTTAGGAGAGGTTTTCAGACCTGCTAAAAAGCTCGCACTTCGTACATGTTCGGCTGTTCCTTGTTTTTCAAACTCAGTAAGACGCTCTTACTAGTTTATGAAACTTTCAAAGCCTGCTGTTACAACTAATTTTTATTAAGAGTGCCACAGTTGTTTTGTTTTTCTTTCTAGGCCAAATATAAGGTTCTTTTTTATGAATTATAAGTTGACTCTGTACAAATTCAATTCACCGTTGAACGCAGTCAGGTGTTTAGTATAAATTAAGAACACTGCGTGATAACTAGTTTTATTTGCTCAACTCTATACTATGCAATTTTGACATCCTATTTACTTTCTTAATGGATTCTCAATGAATTAGCGAGGACATTTAGAGTTTGACGTTGTAGAAAGTAATTAAGACAGTTACCCAACGTTAACCTGTATATTATATGGACAATCATGTTTATTTGGTTTTTGGTCAATAGAAATGGTTTAATTCTACCTTTATTGCAGTTGCGTCGAATTTTGTTTCGACGCTATTAAAACAAAAGGAACATCATCAATAGTTGTTATCGTTATCTAATATCCTTTGATCATACACAGAGTTGGGTTCACCTGGCCATGGCTGAATATTTATATAGTTTGATTATGATACGAAACGGAACAACAGTGGTAAGAGTAAGTGTTCCGAAAACGATAGATAACATAGGTGGCACAATTTTCCTCCCGCAATGCCGAACTGGATATTTATTCTAAAGTTGAACGTTTGTGGGATTATCACAGTCGCTGCCGTCCTCGGCAGCTATTTCGTGCTAAGAGCGTTTCACAAATTTCGCAACTTGCGAACTGCTTCCAACAACATTTTGGTGAGTTTGTCTATCGCCGACGGCTTAATAGCGATTCCCTTGATTCTTGATATCATTTTGTATAATGTTGGAAATCGTAATTTAAAAGAAGTAAGCGGAACTGTCACCTTGTTCCTCCTTTCGGTCATTGTTCTTCATCTCACCTTACTGAGTTCAGAACGTTTCATCGCCATCAAGTTCGCCTTAAGATACCACACCATAGTGACCAAACGCCGAGCACGGATCGTTTCCATCGCGATGTGGCTGTGGGCTCTGGTCATTGTTATTGCTCTTCCATGGACGCTTTATGGGACAACAGGCCACAAAGATTACAGAGAATTTCACATAGGGATGCATCCAGATAGTGATAAAGCCCAAGAGCTCCCCATCAGATGGCATCTTGTATTGACAGCTGCGTCAATGTTTCTTGTTCCCCTGTTGATCATGATATGCTCGTACACCTACATCTTCATAGTGTCCCACAAGCAGAGACAACGTGTCAGAAAACAGGGCCGCGACGTTCCAGGAATGCCAACTATCAAGCACGAAATGAGAGGCGCCCGAACTCTCGCCATTGTTGTGGCGCTGTGTCTGCTGAGTATCATTCCTATCCTTGTTGTGACATCCCTCCGAGTTTTCTGGCGCACATTACTCGTAGGCCCCTACCATCAAACGTTACTGCAGCATATCGTTTATAAGGTGGCCATGCTTTTGAACGCTGCATGCAATCCTCTTATCTATGGATGGAGAAATGAGGAATTCAGAAACGCTTTTCGCAAGATGCTAAAGTGCTGCTAAGCGAGTTTAGCGCATGAACGCCGTTAGGTATTGTAGGCCATATCCAAGATTTAATATTCTTTTCTTTAAAGCAAATTGGCTAAGAATCGAGTAACAGACGATACCAAACTCTCTTTTGCAAGCCACTGAAAACAGCTCAATTTGGTTTGTACCTTTTCTCTTGTCTGCTAAATTACTAGACTCAAATAAAGAGCCCTACGTAGGAACTGTAATAACATAGCGGCGCGAATGTAAGTTGGTCAAATTTTGTAACGAGTTTCATTTTGAGTAAAAAAAGACTCTGTTCTATGAATAAGACCTTTTACAAGGGGCCCAGTGAAGGACATAAACTGACAGCTGCGAATTCGTCAACATTTTTACTTTCAGCAAAGAAAAGAGGGATTTTTAACTGAGTGCTGAGACTTGATCAAAAAAATTATTGACACGGGTGAGGAAAACCAACGGCGATTCCAACACCCCCATGCAGACCCATTTTAACTCTTAAATGTTGTAAAAGAAAAAGCTGCGCAATTTCATTCGCGCTTATGCAGATAGCATGGTGAAGAAACAAAATTTGTCCATAAAAGTTTAGAGTTAATTTCAAACATTCCGGTCTCTTGGTATCATGCAATGAAATACCATACCCAAAAACAAACCACAAAAACGCATATACCGTTTAGGCACACGGTTCAAAGAACATCTGTTGGGGGACCCCGGGAAGGGGGTGACTTCCAAATGAAAACGATGGAATATTCGTTGTCTCGCTTAGGATTGATCATGACTGAAACCAATGTGATATCTTTACCCATAGGGGTATCATTGTGGATTGTGAGTAAAGAAATAACTAGGTAAAACAAACAAATGCTTTATAACAAAGGGAGAACAGTTGTGACAAAATCGCGAAAAAACGCGAAATTTGTAGTTTTTGTAATTTTCGTTAAAATTGTAAAATCACAGGTAACGCAGGCTCTGTGATAGTACCACAGTACGGTTCCAGTAAAATTACAGCGTTTGTATGGGGTAAAAGTACGACCCTATAATTTCTACGAAATACTAAATAAAGATCAATGAAACTTACTCTGCAGTTAGTTGTTGTTGTCATTAATGGTCCAACGAAGTTTCGTGATAATTTGTTCAAATTCACTGTATATACAATAATAATATACAAGGTAGGAGACACGAGATGCCATCTTCGCCGCCATGCCCTCATTCAACTGCAACTTTTTCCACGAAATCCGAACTACGACAGAAAATAAACATGCCAGGATTGTAATAATAGGATAGCAGCAGATAAAGAAACCAATAAAGCTTTCCCAGATAGAGAAGCGAATCCCGCAGACTTAAACAAACCCGAAGGATGTAATCCAAAAAGGCCGAGAATATGCTCCCCGAAGTAGCCGGGCCAGATCAACGCGCGGCCAAGAAAATGAGGCGTGGGCACTGTACAAAAAAAATCCATCCCGGGTGTCCTGGGCTGACCTTTCTAGGGACCGATACATAGCTTTACCGAAGTTAGCCACCCCTGCTGGAAATACATTTGCTCGACGGCTATTGTTCATTTGAGAAAAACACCACTCGCCCAAGCAAACTACATGTTCCGGTGCAGACTTGTATTCAGAGGAACCTGAAGTAGGATGGAGGAGTACTAAAATCCCCGAAAAAAATAGTGGATTATGCCAACACTAACAACGTACGTTGAATTTATTGTTGACCCGATTGTTTTATTCCATGGCTGATTAATTTACAGCTATTTGCAAATACTTAAGTTGATCAAGTGCAAGTGACTACCAGGGGAGAGTGTAGATTGGTTCTTTGACAACAAAATGACATGATCATATTGCTTGCATAGACGATGATTCTTATAGACTAAATTCGAAGCGAGCAATCTCACATTAATCAATCATTTTCTCACCTTGCGTGCTAAGTCGAAAAGTAAATTGTTGCTGATTTAAAATAGGGGTACGGAGATATTCCTTCCCTCTAACGATTGGTTGTTGTTGTTGTTAGTCGAGGAGATGAAATACTGGTGAACAGAGAGGTAGGGCATCTAATGAGGACCAAGAGTATTGACCATAACGATCAAGGGGTATGTTCTGGAAGGGCCAATCTGGATAGTCCCTTTTTGATATAACACCTTAGCGCACTAATTTGGACAAAGCTTATTGACTATGACGATGGAGGGGTATATTCTGAAAGGGCCATCTGGTTAGCCCCTGTTTGGATAACACATTAGCACACTTTTTTGGACCAAGAGTGTTGACCATGACGATGGAGAGATGTGTTCTGGAGGGGCCAATCCGGATAGCCCCTATTTGGTACAACACCTTCGCGCTTTTGATCACCTAGCATGTTAAAAAGCGCACTATAAATGAATAAATTATTATTATTATTATTATTATTATTACACTGTTTTGGGGCCAAAAGTATTGCGGACCATCAGAAGAAGGGATAAATTCAGGAGGGGCCAATCTAGATACCTTTCACCTGGTGTAGTATTTTAGCAGGATTTAAATGACCTTCTTGGGCCAATCTGGTTAGCTCCCATTTGGTTTTTCAACCTTAGCACAACATGTGGGATCATACGAGTATTGACCATAAAGATGGACGAGACCAATCTGGAAAGCCCTTGTCTGGCATAACAACACCTTAACATATTATTTGAGAATTCATTATTTTAGACAACGTGGATGGTGACAGCTCCAAAACGTTGAAAACATCCTTACTATTATAACTTATTAATCTTAATTAAAACATACGCGCTTGATAAAACTTTACAAATGTTCATAAAACTTTGGAAACTTCGGAACAACTTCGGGTTATGTTGGGAAATCATTGTTGGGAAGTCATTGAGTAGATTTCCGATATCTATTATATTAAAAATATTTTCAATCATTTTGGGTACCTTGCCGGTCAACTTTGTTTTCTCAATACTCAGCAGTATATTTTGGAAATGGTCTGAATCTCTTTGCAAGTGCATTATAGTTTCTGGGACCTTGCAAGGCAAGTCTCGCGTTTTATGAGGTTTTTGTTCTGGACTGGGTGTTAAATAGCAATAAGAAATAGAAAAGAGATAAATCAATCAATCAGTCTATATGATGGGTAAAAAAGAAATCTTTAGTGTACAAACTAATCAATGGTTTTTTCAAATTCTGTGTTTTACTAATATATTTGATGTTCAGGTGCAAAAGAAGTTGATATTATACTGTATTGTAGATCCAGAGAAAATAGCAGTGCCCAAAAAGAAGAAAATAAAATAGGGGTAGAGTGATGCCGATTTACATTACGAGAAAACCCGTTTTTTCTTGGTTCTTCGAGCAAAACGGGCGAGGAAAACTTGTGACGCGCGCTTCTCGCTTGTGAAGTGTGCCACCCCATTTACTTAGTAACTCTAACGGATAAATAAGAGACTACTGGTAGTCTTCATCAGGTCAAGTTTAAAGACTTAAGTGACAAAAAAAAAGATCGGCCAAAATGTAATTAGCCATGTTTAGTCTCCTTCCATAGACATTCCCACCTCTCCGGCGTAAAAAATGCGCCCCTCACAGCCATGCATCCAAGGCGAGTCTAAAGTCTAAGTTCTCCGTTACTTCCGTTTTATTTCAGGGTGCAATAGCCTTGGCAAGAGGTATTTCAAAGCGCGAGGATTTTGACATTGTGCTTTTAGAACAAAATAAATAAGTGTTTGCTACGAAGACTTCAAGTTCGATTGACGTCCCTGTCACGTTTACGTACTTTATTCTCACTTAATTTCGCGAGTATTAGATTTGGCGAAACATTATGAGCCATATTTCGCGAATATTTAACTTTTCTATTTTTCTGTTCTTTAATATGTAAAGACGACTTTAAACTCAGAACAGTAACAGCAGAATAAGTAATTACCGTAATAAAACAGAAAACAAAGACGATTACGAACAAAACGTCAACCATCTAAACATAACAAAGCATAAGGCCTTCAATGGTCTAACTACAGTGTAACTACCCACAGATAGTTACATAGTAAATATCTACACTCTGATAAACTTGTTGGGATAACTAATAAAGCAACATCTGGAATATCGTTATTTTTTGCGTATAGGTGTGTCTGGTATTAAATTTCGCGATTTTTCCCGGATCGCGAAAATAGCGAAATATAATTCTCTCGAAAAGTGTACGGCAAAAGTTGACTACTTCGAACTCTCAATGCTTTTAAGAAAGTCGTTTCCTTCTCATCCTCTTGATTAACATGTGAAACAGGGAAGCAAACCCCTTCCAATAATAGCAATTACACGATCTTGTGTTATGCGCAAACCAATCAGAATTAGTCCGGCCAGTTTGTTCTGTCTGCGCGTATGCGTCTGTGTTAAAAAGGAGTCCGCGCAGTTAAGAGGCAGCGTGCAAGCAGGCGGGAAAAAAATAAAAAAAAAAGTGTATCGAACTAACTACTAACTAGTTTAACTACGAATAGAAGAATAGTTGTCATTTTGTTGTTGTGTGGATTTTATGGGCCGCGTGTTGATTCTGACCTTTTGCATACAGCTGATAGTTCTTAACCCCATTACGATTCAAGTAAAAGTCAGCTGAGCATAATTTAGAGAGGAAAACCACATTGTACGATCTGCTGGTCTCGTTGCTATAATTAACTTTAGCCAGCATTGAAGTCTGAAAACACATCAGGGCCAGCAATTTTGTCTTGTAACCAGGATAAATGTGGGTTAAACGAAACGTATTGCCCTGCTCAAAACCTCAGCCTGGCGAAGGAAACAGTAATTATAATTTCAGTTATGAGCATTCATCTCATCTTCACTGTCGCCGCCGTCTTCGGTAGCTATCTTGTGATTAGAGCGTTTCACAAATTTCATAGTCTTCGAACTGCTTCTAACGTTATTCTGGTAAGTTTGTCAACAGCTGACGGTTTACTGGCGATTCCTTTGATTTTCGGCATCGTCCAAATGAGTCTTAGACTGTTAAACGGCTCTGATGCTGAGTGTAGCTCCGGTCCTCTTGGAAAAATAACCTTCATATCCAGCTTCTTTCTCATCTCCGTTATAATTCTTCACCTCGCGTTGATAAGCGTAGAACGTTTAATCGCCGTGAAGTTCGCCTTAAGATACCACACCATAGTAACCAATCCTCGAGCACTGATCGTTGCCTTGGCGATGTGGTTTTTGCTGCGACCGTTACGATAACTTTTGCAACGACACTTGTAGCAAACAGTGGAGACATTGGACGGTTTCGCCAAGCGATGGATCCACACTGTAAAAAACCCCTGAAGATTCTTTGGATCACGATCTTAATCCGTTAATGAAAGGGCTTCTCATCTTTCTAGTAATGTTTTTGCCAGTCATCCCCTTTGGTAATCATTTTGTGTTCATATGGCTACATCTTTATCATCTCCTACAAACAAAGGAAAAATATAAGAGGACAAAACAACATTCCAGGAAAGGCTACCGCCATCAAGCACGAAATGAAAGGCGCCAATACAGTGCCGTAGCCAGACCAAACGGCCAACCGAGGCAGGCGGGAGTTGCAAGGGGTTCGGGGCATGCCCCCCCGAGAAATTTTGAACTTTAGTCTCTCGGAAATGCGATTTGCAGCGTTTTCTGGGCCTTTCGGTAACTTTTTTTCGAGTTAATTTAAGTGGAATTTAAAAAGCAATAATCAGAAACAAGCTACATAATCTGGGTGACCGTTAACCTCGCCAATGGTTTTGATCAGTATTTGTTCAAAAAAAAATTGAGTTAACGTACGTAGCCCCTTGAGATCGATGATATGGTAATTTTTTCATAGTATATTGACTGAATTGCTGAATTCTTTTTAATATCATGATGCGTTAAAAATATCCGATGATCGCTTATGTAAAATAAAAATGATCGGCGAAATTCGTCAAAATTTTACCGAGGCGAGTGCCTCGGTTGGCCTCATACTAGCTAAGGCGCTGCAATACTCTTGCTATTGTTGTAGCCGTCTGCCTTCTCAGTATCGTCCCACTGATAATCATGACAGGCCTTCGCTTTTTCGGCGAACTTCCCGAACGTTGCGACCCAAAGAGAAAGTTAATTAAGTTTATTGTTTTTGACTTGGCAACAGTCTTAAACACCATCTGTAATCCTCTTGTCTACGGATGGAGAAATGAAAAATTCAGAACCGCTTTTCGCAAACTGCTGAAGTGCTCTTAAAACGCGAAGTTGTGCGCCGTTGGAAGCTGGGATTAAAGAGCCTGGTGTTTTAAATGGAGAATTTGCCACCAGAAAAAAATTAATCAAATAGGGTCGAACATTTTCCAGACTTTAGGAGCAAGTTCTGGCATTAGGTATTTTGGGAAGAAAAATAGGAAGAAAAAAAAACTGCTGCGGCATATTTAATTCCTTTTTTTAACAGTTAACACATGCATGATCAGCTTTCATTATATCCATACGAAATTTATCCAATTTATCCAATTTATCCAAAAGTGACTATAGGATGAGTCCATAGTTTGCCACAAAATATACTATAATGGAGTAGAGGTTTTAAGTTTATCCCCGGGTCTAAAATAAAATGCTGTTACTCGAAAATCCCGATGAAATTCATCCCGGTTTTTATAAACTAAACTTCAAGGTTAAGGAAGCTTTTGGGCAATGATAATGAGCGTTCTATTCAGTACAATGTGTAAGTAAGGTAAAGACAAACTACAAAAAATTTCCAAGAACTTAAGACTACGAGCAGTTTTTCAAAAAGAAGTGATGTTATTTACAAAAGAAGTGATGGTCGATCTAAGTTGATGTAGCTCTTATCCATATCAGCAAATACAGTGTGCCGAACACATTGTTAACACAAAATCTAATTATCGGATTATCTTGTTTTTCCTAGAAAAAAAACTTAAATGAAAACGAATACCAAAAACCGTAAGGAAAAAACGGTATTGATACACCTCGCTAGGATACAGTAAAACAAAAATTATCTGCGGTAAACGAGCGACGTACAAAATAGATACCAGTTCTCGGCCGAGAAAAACTATGACATGAGAGCGAGGTCAAATGAGCCAGCCAGCCAGTTCAAGACTGGTTTCGTCCAACCCGTGAAATCATATGGCATCCAGAACGATACCTACCCGAATCCCGCGGGAAAAGAAAAACGACTTTAATAGTATGCGGTCTCCTACTTCCTCAAACCGGAAATAAACACTCTTCCAGTTAAGCAGAATGATATACTAATAAAAAGGTTAAGCACCTTCTGTACGCTTCAAACAGATCGCCGCTGAGTGGTGTTAGAGTCCTATTTTTGTATGTAAAAAATCCTTATTAAAGGAACTGCCCGTGCGTTCTGAAATTCGAAAATGAAAAGTGGCAAACTAAGTTTTACAACCATATTTGGGTGTTTGCCAATTTTTCCTGTTTGGTCGCCTCTTTTCTTTACATGAACACCTGTTGAAATATGGGCGTTCTTTATTGTATCTATTCCGCTCCAAACTTCTTCCGCTCTTTAATAAGTTTAATTTCTTATAAATGTCGCCAGTAAGTATGAATTTAATTTATTTCTCCTTCCGAATTCATTATTTTTCTACATAGTGGTTTACGCGTTTCAATTAATTTTCAATAACACAGCATCATAAAGTTAGAAATGAAACCTGACGTTTCCTAGTCGCTTGATTAATGGCTCAAAAACGAAGGTGTCGAGCCAGTGTGTCTACTTCCATGAATAAAAACAATTTCTGTTTAGGTGACAATGGTGCCTTCGCTTCATCCTCTTCTCCATTCAGTCTATAGAATTTAAAATTTATTTTAAGCCGAAACTTATCCACGCAAACTCGATAAGACGCCCTTACCAGTTTATGAAACTTTCAAAGCCTGCTGTACAACTACTTGTTATTAAGAGTGCCACAGTTCTTTTTTCGTTTTTCTTTCTAGGCCAAATATAAGGTTCTTTTTTATGAATTATTTGACTTTGTACTTATTCATTTTACCGTTCAACGCAGTCAGGATAAAAATTTCTGCTTGATAACTAGTTTTATTTAACTTTAGACTATGCAATTTTAACATGCTATTTACTTTCTTAATGGATTCTCGATGAATTTGCGAGGAAATGTAGAGTTTTACGTTTTAAAAGGCGGCAGTTAAGGCAGTTACATTACATAAACCTGCATATTTTATGGACAATCGCGTTTATTGGATCTTGGTTAACAGAAATGGTTTAATTTTACCTTTATTGGAGAAGCGTCGTATTTTGTTTTGACGCTATTAAAACAAAAGGAACATCATCAATAGTTGTTATAGCTATCATATACAGAGTTGATTTCACCCGGCCATGGCTGACCACTGAATATTTATATAGTTTGACTATGATACGAAACGGAACAACAGTGGTAGGAGTAAGTGTTCCAAACTGTATAGACAACATAGGTGGCACAATTTTCCTTCCGCAATGAATGAAACACAGAACAATTTCACGACTCGCGATCCCTTACCGAAGTGGGAATTTATTCTACTGTTGAACGTTCATGTGATTATCACAATCATTGCTTTGCTCGGGAGTTATTTCGTGCTAAGAGCGTTTCACAAATTTCGGAACCTGCGAACTGCCTCCAACAACATTCTGGTGAGTTTGTCTATCGCCGACGGCTTACTAGCGATTCCCTTGATTCTTGATATCATTCAGTTATGCCTTAAGTATAGTAATGTTGGGCAATGTCCAAGTAGTCTTAAAGAAGTAGGCGGAACTGTCACCTTGTTTCTCCTTTCGGTCATTGTTCTTCATCTCACCTTAATGAGTTCAGAACGTTTCATCGCCATCAAGTTCACCTTAAGATACCAGGTCATAGTGACCAAACGCCGAGCACGGATCGTTTCCATCGCGATGTGGCTGTGGGCTCTGGTCGTTATTGTGGCTTTTCCAGAGGTGCTTCAGTGGGCAACAGGGAAAGATTGCAGAAAATTTCCCAGAGAGATGAGTGAAGTCATAAATACAACCGAAGTGCGCCGCATCAGGTGGCATCTTGTATTCCAAGCTTCGTCAATGTTTCTTGTCCCTTTGCTGATCATTTTATGCTCGTACACCTACATCTTCATTGTGTCCTACAAACAAAGACAACATGTCAGAGAACAGGGCCGTTACATTCCAGGAATGCCCACCGTCAAGCATCACATGAAAGGTGCCCGCACTCTCGCCATTGTTGTAGCGCTGTGTCTACTCAGTATCATCGCTTTGCTGGTTGTGACATCCCTCCGAATCTTCCGTGACATATCAATCGGGGACCGCAAACATCAAATGCTACTGCAGAAAATCGTCTACGACGTAGCCATGCTTTTGAATGCCATATGCAACCCTCTTATCTATGGATGGAAAAATGAAGAATTTAGAAACGCTTTTCGTAAGATGCTGAAATGCTGCTAAGTGAGATTTGTGCCAGAACGTTCTTAGCCGTCCTAGGCCATACCCAAGATTAACTGTATTCTTTTATTTAAGGTAAATTGGCTAAGTATTAGGTACCAGACGATACCAAACTCCCTTTTGTAAGCCACTGAGAACAGCTCAAGAGGTTTGTACCTGCTAAATTATTGGACTCAAATAAAAAGCCGTACGTAGAAACTGTATGGTGTCAAATGCTTATTCATTTCATGTACGATAATAATATGGTGGCACGAATGTAAGTTGTCAAATTTCATATCAAAAGTTTCCTTTTGAGTAAAAAAAAGTGTCTAATTATATGTTTTATGATCAGATCTAGTGAAAAAGAACTTTTGAAAGAGGCCCAGTGGAGGACATACACAGATGCATTGCGAATTTGTCAAAATTTTTACCGTCGGTTGAGAAGTGCTGATTAACAACTGAGACTTAAGATAAAAGAACTATTGATACGGCTGGGAAAAGCCAACGGTTATTCCAGCATCCACATGCAGTCACCAGTTAACTCCCAAAAGTTCTAAAAGAAAAAGCTAAACAATTGCTTACTTTTATGCAAATAACATGGTAAAGAAGCAAAATTTGACCACAAAAGTTTAAAACGAATTTCAAGCATTCTAGTCTCTTGGTATTATGCAGTGAATACGCTCTTTACTTTCCATTTACCAAAACAAATCACAGCTACGCATGTACCGTGTAGGTACACGGCTCAAAGAAGATCTGTTGGGAGCCGCGGGAAGGGGGTGATTCCCATATGAAAATGATGAAATATTTGCCTCGTCGCTTAGAGTTGATCATGGATTATGCATGG